TCATAAATGCATAATTATATACTCATAACCAGCTACTCATATTTTTAATTCATAATTTCTACATGTCACCTTACTAGATTTAAAGTGATAATCTATAATTCAGAATCGCTGAAGTCCAGACAAGTCCAGAACTTGGATTTTGTACCGTATTTATTATTTACATAGATATTTTACTTTGAATTAGGCATTTATCTTAAATTAATCAAGACACCTACTTACAAGCAGGTTTTTCTTTCTTTGGTCCTGGTAGAAATTTTATGGCAATTGCTTTAAGAACAGATTCAGTACTTGCTTATTATAACAGCCTCAGTGAGAAATGGGAATTGGAGCATTTTTATCTGTTGCAAGAAACAGATGTTTATTGATACACATAAACAATTTATGCAGTATATACTTAGCAATTGAATATAAATTTATATTTCTTGTTTTATTTAATAAAGCTTTATAAACAATCCATTTAAAATAAACAACTTATAGAAACATAGCTTAAGTTACTATAATATATACATACAAACACAACATACAGAAACAAATATAACAATATCTAGAACAGCAACATATAAAACACATATCTACAGAAGCACCATACAGAATGTATGGAACTTGCAGAAACACAATTTATTGATGGCTTAATTTCCAGTGTACTGTATACAATAACCATTTTTACAGTTCTTTTGAAGACAACAATACCTTCCTCTTGAAGAAACTACAGTGTCTTGTTCCATCACTGGTTGAATGACAATATTATGCATATTAAATATTTGGGAATAAAAAATTCATAGAAAAGTTTTAATAGCTGAAGAAACATAGGCTATGTACATATGTCAAATGTAAACTATCAGCACATGTGCAGATTAGTAACTGTCTATTTCTCACCAAGGCTGAAAAGCGTCAATTCCAGTTTCTTGCCAAGGCTGCTATAATCGACAAGCACCATATCAGTTGTCCAAATCAGTTGCTCTCATTAGCAGTTCTGCAGAAATTTTACTGAATTCCACTCATTTATTTTTAAAATAGAACTTCAAAAATACCATGTTAAATTATTATTACTTGGACTATGACAAAAAGAACTCATGGCTTTTAAAACTGAACTACCATGCACATAATTAACAAAATACAGGGCATAATGAAAATTTAGGGACTTCTATTAAGGTAATTGTGCTAGTATGTAAGTACCACATAGCATCTGTCATTTCTTTAGAAAAGGATTTTTTTTTTCTTTCTGCTCCATGTTTTTTTTTAAGGAACTGAAGTTTGATTAGAAATTATAAGTTTTTCAGCACTTTTTGATTATTCACACTCTTGATGAAAAGAAGTGGAAAGCATTTATGAGGCAAAGCAATATGTCACCAAAAGTAGTTATGTGACAATTCATGAATGGGTATAGCACATGTCACTTTTGACCATTGTGAAATTCCAGAAGTTATATGGAGCTGAGTTTATGCAACTCTCTAAACACTTTTTTTTTTTTCTTTTTAAGAGAAGAGACAGAGTTCCATCCATGGAGAGAATAACAGCACAAAGGAGGGAAAAAAAAAATAACAAAATCTGAAAGCTTTTAGATTTTACATAACAGCCAAAGTTTTTTTTTTTTTTTTTTTTTTTTTCCCATTTTGTGTGTTTGTTTTATTTATTAAATATAATGTTCTTCACACTTAAACCATAAAACTCAGTTCAACAGCAATATTGCAAAATAATTTTAAAATAAGTATATCTATCTTTAGAATTTTCCGATACACAGTCTTGCGCGCTGGAGACTTTTTTTTTTAACACAGTGTTGCTACTGCTCGCTTTGAAATCGCTGAGTTTATTAATTAAAAATTCATTAAAGTTTTACAAAATATGAAATAGATAATAACAGAAATTCCAAATTTTGGCTTCCAGATGCCCATATTTGGGTGGAAATGTACATTATTCAAAATTTGATGGCTCTAGGTACCATCATTTTATCACAATGCAAAAAACTTACCATATATTTGTGCAGATTCTTCATTATTATTTTAATTTCTTTAAATATAATACAGGGCTGTAATATTTGGTGGCAACAGTTTGAAAAGTGAACCGACATTTAAAGTTTTCAATGCAAAATGCCAAAATGAAATTAATAACCCTTCTGAGCTAATGCCCTTTGGGCTTGAAGAAGGTTTTCTTAAAGGTAAGTGTTACTAATATTTCTTGCTTTTTAAAATTTACTTATTGATTGCTCTTGAAAATAATTCTTAGCATACTGCCCTTTTGAAAATGTCTGCTGCCTTTCATGCATTAGCTTGAAGAAAAATTGGGTGCCAACATGTTCCAACTTTTTGGTAGGGGTGTGGATAATTTTTACACCGATTCTTAGCCAAAGGTGCCAATTTTTAAAGCAAATTAAATGCCACTTTTAAAACATTTTTAGAACATGCCATTTTTAAAACACACACTACCACTTGTCACTATTACTTCTAAGTTTTTCAACTAGCAACTTTAGCAATAAGAAAAATTTTGAATCCCTTTTCCCTCTAGAATTGTACCATAATATACTTCTCTTTTAGCATATAAAATTTTTAGGACACATATCATAGGTAGATTTTTAAAATCAGCCACATAATAATAATTGTTACAAATTCTTAATTAAAATTAAATTCTTTTTCGGTGGTGTGGTTATAAAAACAATAGAAAAACTATAAGAATTCTTAAAAACTATACAAACAGTATCATAGAGAAAAGATAAATAAAGAAAAATATATTACAGTCAAGATTCATCTAAATTACAGAGAAAATATGACAAAGAGGGCTAAAATTGTTATATAACCTGTAAAGACCTTATTTTGTACTAATTAATTATTTTTAGTTTAAGAAACTTTCCTTTCCCTTCTGATTTTAATTTCTTGACAAAATGCAAATTTAAATTATGTCTATGCAAAATCTCAGTGAGCTGGAAATAGTACTTAAATAGCAGAATTGAAGAGTTAGAAGTAGAAATGTTCATTATGAGTAGAGCCAAACGAGCCAAACGAGTTCTAACAATGCCAAAAACGAGTTCTGTGTGTTTGTAAGTAGCTCTCTAGTTGAATATTTGTGCTAACCACGTACTTTTAGATTATTTGATATTTTACACTCGGCTGTGCAGCCAATAAATCTGGCTTTGATTGAAGTAGGAGCCAGCCATGTAGCTGAAATTTGATTCATCATGATTTTTACATACTATTTTGTGTTTAAGCTATCTACTTCACCACAAGTAGTGGTTAGTTTGTGAGCACCAAGAGTGTGCATGTTCAGTTCAGTTTAGTTAAATTTAGACGTTGTTATAACGTTCATTAGCAGTTATCTGTTTATTTCTTTTTTTCAATCAGAGCGTGAATTCACTATCTCGTCTTCAGTAGAGTCTACATTTTATGCTCCCAAAAAGAACAAGACTGTACAACCTATTGTCTTCCTTAATCCCCTCAGTGGCATGATCACTTTTATCCAGTCAAGAGGTATTATGTATATATTATAATGGTATATATTATAATCCAAAATACTTTGCTCTTTTATTTTCTTTAATCACATAAATATCACTATAAATCATAAATATCTAATCAATAAAATCATAAACATCAAGTTTATGACAATCGAAACTAAAATACGTATTTATAAAAATCTAGCTAATAGAAGCTAGTTAAATACAGGTTTTCATGAAAGATTCAGAAAGCCATGCCACTCAGAGGTTAAGTTAAAATAACTATTAGAGGTTTGCAGAAGTGGAAATAAGGTTATCATTGGAATACTTTGCAAGATTACTATTGACCAGAACATTTCCATGCTGAAATCTCAGCAACTCATGTTTACCGAAAAATGTTTTGCAAGTCTGGCGGCCTAAAGAATATATTTTTAAATTTTTAGTTCTGGTTGCAAAGTTTTGGAAAACGAAAAAAAAAAAAAAAAAAAAAAAAAAAAAAAAAAGCAGTTGATCTTTACTGTATGGTACCCCTTGGTTTGTGTGTGAAAAAATCGCCAAGTGGTATTGGTTATTCGTGAGATCTAGAAGCCCACTGCGTGAAGTAGGTTTTTCGGTAAACCTAGCGTTGATAATGTTGGCGAAACTGGCCTTGCAGAAAATTGTGCAAATATCACCAAATGTGTTAGGATAAATTGAGATTTGGGCTATTTTTTGTAATAGTAACCCTTTCATATGAACCGGGGTTTTGATTCTTAGCATCATTTTCAATTGCTGTGCTACTGGATGGCGTACAATTGCCTTTCAGATGAAGGCTTTGGACACTAGTGGAAAGCTTGAACATATGCACATGAAAAAAAAGGTATGTTAAAAAAATTGACATTTCACTTATTTATTAGTCTTTGGGGGTCAATTTTAAGAAATTTTAAAAGATTTGTTGCTTAATGTTTTTATGTTAGGAAATATGTATTTTTGGTTATTTATTACTCTCTGTTTACGTATTTTTGGTTATTTGTTCATCTCTGTGTTTTGAGACAGCGGCGAAATTTTTCTGGTTAACATGATAGGTTTAACTTTGTTTCAGCTTCTTGATTTTTTTTTGTGACAATAGATTAATGTGTAAATGGACAAAGTTAAGGCAGTGGACAATGCCTAGTTTGTGCAATTCTCTGATTTTTTTAAAGTTAAAATAGGTCAATGTGTACATGGACACACAGTTTATGTAAGTCTTTGACTTCTTGTTTTGGTTTTGTGTAGCGGGTGGAAGGATCAGCGCCATTTTGAAATTGATGCCAATCCTTCCTGGCGCTGATCTTGGCGTCAAAAAAGAGACGATGTGCTAAGGAATACTGTAGAGTAAATTTTAATCAAAACAGCACTGGAAAAATTCTTTGCACTTCCTGGCTGCTGTAGAGTCTGACAGAAAAGAAATTGGCCTAGTTAGTAGAAGTAAAGTACCCTGAAGAATGATTACACAATTTCATAGTTATAAAATATACATTACTATAAATATACATGTACACATCTGCCTCTATACCCTTAAAATATAAAAAAACTGAATTTGAATTAGAAGTAAAATTACCTGTCTGTGTTTAAGGCAGGTGCAAGCTCATCACGTAACAAGAATGCCATAATACTCATGCGATACATGTGTCCAGCAATACTTTCACATTCCGGAATATTTCTTAAAACCCAACCTGTTCTTTTTAAATGCTGTAAAAATGAAAACTTGGGTTACTTTTTCTATATACATTTGAAATACAAAGCAAAACAGCACAATGTAAATAAAAATAAAACTTCAAATTTATTTATTTTGATCATTAAAAATAGATATTAATAACATAATTATAAACATACAGTTTTGTTGAACTAATCTGAAATTCCAAATAAATTAATTAACAGTTCACTAACACAACTATATGGTTATGAAACTTTTATATTTCACGGCACTAGCAAAAGAAATTCATATTCAAACTTTTTAAACATATGACTGATGATACTTCTGTAAACTTGGACCGGTATTAAATTATACAACATTACAACAAATAATTATAAGCCCACTCTTGGTTCAAGATCATCTTGGTTCTCTGTAGAAATAGTTATCTTGGACAGATGATTAATACTAATGTTTATTTATATTCTAATAGGTCATTTTTATAAGTGAATTTTTTAAGAAAATAATCACCATGAGAAGGTTAACTGTATTTGGCACATATATGCCTACAACTTATCAAATTGCATGTATCGTACTAAAAAAAAAGAGAGACAGAAAAGCAATAATAGTTTAATTTATGTTCTAAAATATAAAATATATATAAATTATATACAGTACAAAGTCTGTAATCCGAACGTCCATTGTCCGGAATGATCCATAATCCGGACCTCAAAGCCACAAACTTTACACATGCACGGGTTAAAAGAAATGTTTAATAAAGTAAACAAATAAATATTAAGCTTTTTTTTTTTTTTTGTAAAATTTGATACCCTTTAGATCATAATTGCTCTTTATTTCATAAATTACGGTTTCATATTTTTAATTATATAATTTCTGCATGCCAGCTTACCAGATTTAAATTGATGATCTATAATGCGGAAAAACTCCTCATCCGGAATCGCTGAAGTCCTGACGTGTCTGGATTACTGACTTTGTACTGTATATATATTTTTTGTTTTGTTTTGTTTTACATACTTTTTTTAGGGTAAAGTTTATGTTTAATATACTTTTTAAGCCTTCTTTTTATGAATAAATTTAAATTTTCTTTTTATGAATAAATTTAAATAAATTTTTAAGCCTTCTTTTTATGAATAAGCCTTTTTTTAAGCCTTCTTTTTTAACCAAGATGAATACCTGAATTAAGTCCCCACTCTCTCGAACATCTCAGCAGAACAGGCATACTGACTGATAACCAATGCCTTATTTGCCTATTTACACTATGAATAAGTAGCACCTGCTTGTCTGTCCATACTTTGACCCTAAGTTACAACATAGTGGTGATCTCCTCTAGCTGTACTGGATGGCCAGGGACCTTGCATCCTAAGCACATGGTTCTTTCGCCTAATCACTGAGGAATTTTTAAGACTTTAACTGTGAAATTTTTTTGTCTTACTTCTTTGGTTTAAAGATTTTAGTGCTGTAATTCTCAAGAGTTTTTAACATTTTCATGATACCATTTTGAATTTAATGGTGGTCCCCCCCCCTCGATGGCCTGATGTTAGCCATAAGTAACAACAAGATCCTCTCTTTTCCGTTGGCCCCGCCAAAAAAAAAATTGAAGAATCTTTGTCACTTTTATAGTTACTGAAACACCAAAGCAATATCAATACTTTATATTGTTCCATTTCCAGAAGATTATAAATTAGTGGCCATTATTAGTCGATTCCATGTTTGATGCAATGGGATAGCAGTTGCGACATGGCAAGCAAGATTGCCTGCATGGATATTTCAGAATTTATATTATTTTCAGATTTTTTATTATATAAGCATAATTGGTTGATCTTTGGATTATGGTAACTTGGCAATTTTTTGGCGAAAATTTGGCGACCAACTCTGCTACAGCAACCCTTGCTAGTTTTTTTTTTCGCCACGCTATTTTGTCTTTCACGAAAGTAAAGACATGTTTCTTTTTATTTACTCAACACTTTTTTCAAACAATCTACTAACCGAATTACACTGATGCTAGAAATTTTATGTAACAAAACTGCTTAATCATGACAAATATTAACTGCAAAATTGGGGAAAAGTACAGAATCGCAAAACTCCTTGCACGTTTTTCAGAATAGCACATACACATAAACCCCATTTACACGTCGACTATTTTTACTTAAAAAACAATCCGGAATTGCACAAAAAATGGCATTGCAAAACACTCTTAACTTTATCCATCTACACTGCTATTTTCTCATAAATTACAAAAATTTGCATGAAAATGCAGTAAAATTTTCTTAATATTTAAACTCGATAAAAAGCACATATATGAAATTACGTGATCGCAAAAAAGTACATACCCTTTCTAAGGATGAACATTTCCACATATAAAATAAATAAAATATCCAAAAGCTTTTATCTCTAAATTATTTATTATATTATAAACGTCACTAACGAATTTATACACAAACATTAAAAATAGTTACAAATACTTAGTGTCAAATATTTAAATTATTTCCATACACGTTTACTTCAACTGAAACTTATACCAAATTCCTACAAATATAAAATTCACAAAATAACTACAAATATAAAATTCACATTTAATTAAAATATCACTAAACCATGTACACGTCGACTTATTTTTACTTAAAAAAACATCCCAGAATTGCACAAAAATGGCATTGCGCACACTCTTCACTATATCCATATACACTGCTTTTTTGTCATAAATTAGAAAAATTTCACGAAAATGCATGAAAATTTTGTGAATCTTTAAATCCAGTAAAAAGAACATATATGAAATTATCTCATCGCGAAAAAGTATATACCCTTTCCAAGGATGAACATTTCCACGTATAAAATAAATAAAATATCCAAAAACTTTTACCTCTAAATTATCTATTATATTATAAATGTCAGCAACGAATTTATATGCAAACATTAAAAATAGTTACAAATACTTAGTGTCAAATATTTAATTTATTTCCACATCTGTTTACTTCAACTGAAACGTATACCAAATCCCTACAAACATAAAATTCACAAAATAACTATCATTTAATTAAAATATTACTAAACCATGTACACGTCAACTTATTTTTACTTAAAAAAAATCCCAGAATTGCACAAAAATGGCATTGCGCACACTCTTCACTATATCCATGTACACTGCTTTTTTCTCATAAATTAAAAAAATTTCATGAAAATACTCAACGTATACTACTCAATTGTATTCCAAAATACTACAAATATATAACTCACAAAATCACAATCATTAAATTAAAATATAATTAAATTAAAAAACACTACGTCAAATATAAAGAAGCAACATACATTAAATTAATAAAATCAGATTACAATCCTAATTACTTTAAACTAAATCATTGCTAATAACAATTTTCCAATAATACCACATTAATTTATTTACTCCTTACATTTAGAACAATGCATAAAATTAATATCCTCAAATGATTAAAAATACTAATTTACCTAATCTTCTTCAGAATCTTCATTACGTGGCTGCAGTACTACTCCTAATTTCTAAATCCTAAATCCAGTAGTCAACTGGAAGTCTATTCACCAAGTAATAAGAAATTAATAAAATTTCACCTATACTCAAATTACTTTCAGCAAACCACGTACCCTTCCTTACACTCCTTTTCAAATAATGTCCATTTTCATCATACTTCTTGCACGCCATTTAAACTTAACTGTAATATCCTTCCTTTCACACAATCTCAACTTATTATTATTATCAGATAAATGCATTAAAAATTTAGAATTCACTTTACATAGCACCATGCAATCCGAAAATTAATCAACACTATTTCACACAACACACAATGAAGCTTTTCCAAATTAACCCCTTTTCCGATTAAAGAACCGTAATTCAGAAGTCAAACAACAAAAATCAGCGTTATACCTACAAAATTTTCAAAACGTTGATTTCTGTTGTTTGACTTCTGAATTAGTATTTATTCGGCGTGTTATTGTGTCTTAATTAAAGAACCGTAATTCGTCCATTAATGTCACGTTTCACACAACACAGAATATAGCTAAATACGAAATTTCCAGATTTCCCCCCTTTTCCGATTAAACAACTGTAATTCGTCCATTAATGTCACATGACATATCTCATGATCTCTCATTTCCCTCGCACAAAATAATGGGTAACTGAGTGCTTCTCACATTATTACCAAAGTCCTAGGTAGTAACCTTTATCACCTCCAAAATGTCGCCAAACTACCAGTTACCATATTCCAAAGATCAGCCACATAATTAATTCTGCTTATATGGTCTCTTTGGTAGCTTTCATTCTTATGCAGAAAGCTTTGAATTCTTTGCAATAATAAATTATCTACTTACTACTAGCAACCTGATATTTATTCTGAAACAAAATAAATAATAATAATAGTACACAGTTGAGGCGAAAGTCTAAATACTTTATAACTGAATAAAATTTATAAAAATTATCAGGAAGTTAGTGCCTAGAAGCATGATAAAACATGTGGTGAAAGTTCAAAAAAGATATACGATACCATTCACTAATTTTGAAAAATTTTCTTTAACTGAATTAATAGTAGACATGTGTATGCATGTATAATATTATATGCATACACATGTCTACTTTTTTAAAAAATTTTATATAAAATAAATTAAAAATATATTTATTATTTAAATTTAATATTTTTATATTTATTATTTTATATTTTAATAATTTTATATAAAATTAAATAAAAATAATCGTATTTTAATTAGGTTTATTAGTTATAAGTTTCATTTAAAAAATTAAATGTAATAAAGAAAATTTATACCTTCAGCTTACCAATCAACATAAAAAATTCCAATAAACTAGATGTCGAAGAGGTATCATTCTCTGCCATAGCTAAAAAAATTACAAAAATATAAGCATTCTTTTATGACATCATTATACCTTTAAAGTTGGTAGATTAAAAAAAAAATTCAGCGAGTTTAAAACAAAATCAGAGAAATAATTATGACTTAAAACAACTTTCAAGACTAAAAAGGTGTTTATCTTTTTAAAATTATTTATAAAATTATCTTAATTACCTGACAGCCCCCTCCTAAAAAAAAAAAAAAAAAAAAAAAAAAAAAAAAAAAAAACTTGGTTGATCTTTACATTATGGTAACTTGGCATTTTTTTGGCGAAAATTTGGCGACCAACTCTCCTACAGCAACCCTCTATTTTTTTTCCCGCCGCCATTTTGTCTTCACGAAGTAAAGACATGTTTCTTTTCTTTTTATCTACTGAACACTTCTTCCAACAATCTACTAGCCGAATTACACTTATGCTAGAAATTTTATCAAACAAAACTGCTTAATCATGGCAAATATTCACTGCAAAATTGGGAAAAACTGCACAATACCATTCTCCTTACGCATTTTTCAAAATAACACATACACATAAACCATGTACACGCCGACTTATTTTTACTTAGAAAAAACATCCCAGAATTGCACAAAAATGGCATTGCGCACACTCTTCACTATATCCATATACACCTTGCTGTTTTTCTCATAATTACACAAAAATTTCACGAAAAATACATGACAATTTTCTCAATCTTTAAACCCAGTAAAAGAACATATATGAAATTACCTGATCGCGAAAAAGTATTTACCCTTTACAAATATCAACATTTTCCACATATATAAAATAAATAAAATATCCAAAAACGTTTACCTCTAAATCATCTATTACATTATACACGTCACCAACGAATTCAACGCAAGCATTACCGCAAGCATTACAATACTTAGTATCAAATATTTTAAATTATTTCCATGCACGTTTATTTTCAACTTAAACGTTATACCAAATTCCTACAAGCATAAAATTCACAAAATAACTATCATTTCATTAAAATATCACTAAAAAACCATGTACACGTCGACTTATTTTTACTTAAAAAAACATCCCAGAATTGCATAAAAATGGCATTGCGCACACTCTTCACTATATATCCATGTACACTGCTTTTTTTTCTAATAAATTAAAAAAATTTCACGAAAATACATGACAATTTTCTCAATCTTTAAACCCCGGTAAAAAAGAACATATATGAAATTACATGATCGCGAAAAAGTATTTACCCTTTACAAATATCAACATTTCCACATATAAAATAAATAGAATATCCAAAAACTTTTACCTCTAAATCATCTATTACATTATACATATCACCAACGAATTCATACCTCAAGCATTACAAATACTTAATATCAAATATTTAAATTATTTCCATGCACGTTTATTTAAACTTAAACGTATACCAAATTCCTACAAACATAAAATTCACAAAATAACTATCATTTCATTAAAATATTATTAAAATATAATTAAATTAAAAAACACTACTTAAAATATAAATGAGCACATACATTAATTATAAAAAAATTACCTTACAATCTTAATTACTTTAAACTAAATCATTGCTTATAACAATTTTCCCAATAATACCAAATTCCTTTCCACCTTACATTTACAACAATGCATAAAAATAATATCCTCAAATAATTAAAAATACTAACTTACCTAATCTTCTTCAGAATCTTGATTACGTGGCAGATACACTTTTCTTACTTCTGTTTCAGAATCTTTAAAATCATACTTATCTTTCAAAGCAAGATACCAGGTAAAATAAATAACATAATAAAACATCTTTATTTCTCTCTCGCACAACCTTAAAAAACATTTATTACTATCCTTTTCAATACCACTAAATACCCCATTTCGAATTCACTTTAGTTACGGCCATAGGATCCAAAAAATTCACAAACACTATTTCACACAAACACAGAATAAAACCAAATACAAAATTGCCAGATTTTTTTTTTTTTTCCCGATTAAAGAACAGTAATTCGTCCATTAATATGACATAACCATATCCCATGATCTCTCATTTCCCTCACACAAAAAATAATGCGTAATCAGAACTGAATACTACTCACATTCTTAACAAAGTCTAACTAACCTAATCTCTTCTTTCCCGAATCTTCCTTACATGGTGGATACACTTTTATTATGGATTCAATAAAATTACTGAACGATTTTTTTTTCCCAAATTTGATAGAATTTGATAAAAAAAAATTCTCTTTATCACATCTACAATTCACTTTTAGACAGCGCCATACAATCCCAAAATTATTCAACCCTACTTCAACACAAACACACAATGAAGCTTAATACAAAATAATATACATCCACAGATACTTGTCCAAATTCCCCCCTTTTCCGATTAAAGAACCGTAATTCGTCCATTAATATCACATGACATATCCCATGATCTCTCATTTCCCCCCACACAAAATAATGCGTAATCGGAACTGAGTACTGCTCACATTATTCCCAAAGTCCCAGGTAGTAACCTTTATCGCCTCCAAAATGTCGCCAAACTACCAGTTACCAAAAAATTGTAAAGATCAACCAAAAACTTATACTGTACATTTTTTTCCACCATATTGCTTCAAGAACGTGTTTTTGTTTTTGTGAGAAACTTTTAGGCAGATCACAATCTTCCAGTTTTTATCAGACATACTAGTTATTATTATCATAATCTTTTTACATAGCTATTAGTCTACACGAGCCCCCATATTTAATACATTCCATGATGATAAAACATTAAATCAAATATGACTCTGATTTCATAACTATACAACAGAGTATACTGTTGTTGTTACGTTAGGCAATGTTACTCACGTCCGTGATATCCTTAATTCATACATGCCTCCTGGGTGGTGCAAAATGAGTAACAGCTATGGCTATGGCGGCTCAGAATAAAGCAGCAGAGTATACTATATATATATTTTTTGCTTTTAAAAAGAGGAGAAAAAAATATACATATATATATATATACAGGGGTTGGACAAAAATATGGAAACACCTTTAAAAAACATGTTTCTTTGCTTAATATGGTGTAGGAAACCCGTTGGCATCCAAAACAGTTTGCAGTCTTCTTGGAATGGATAAATACAGTTCCTGTATGTTTGCCAAGGGAATATTATACCATTCTTCCTGCAAAACGGTGGCAAGTTCAGATAACGATGTTGGCAGTGGATAACAAGAACGCACTTTCCGTTCCAATGTAGACCACAAAGGTTCGATAACATTCAGGTCTGGTGACTGTGGTGGCCAGGGGAGATGGGACAACTCATCCTCGTGCTCAGAAAACCAGTCCTGGACAATGTGAGCTGTGTGAACAGGGGCTTTGTCGTCTTGGAAGACACCATCACCATCAGGGAATAAAGCTTGTACCATGGGATGAACTTGATCGGCCAAAATGTTCACAGAAGTCTTGGCAGTCATGTGCCCTGACACAGTTATCATGGGGCTAGCAGAGAACCACGATATGGCTGCCCAAACCATAACAGAACCACCGCCATGTTTCACTCTTGGCAACAAGCAGTCTGTATTATAGGCTTGAGATGGCGTTCTCCAGACGTAAACTCGGCCAGAAGTGGGAAACAATGTGAAAGAAGACTCGTCAGACCATATTACTCGCTTCCACTGCTCTATAGTCCAGGCTTTATGACTTAAACACCACCTTTTCCTTTTACGGGCATTAGCATCACTGATGAGTGGCTTCTCAATTGCAGCACGGCCAGCAATTCCCTGTTTATGAAGCTCCCTTCTAATTGTTTTAGTGCTCACAGGGTTCGGTAACACAACATTCATTTCAGCAGTAACTTTTGCAGCTGTGGTCTTCTTATTTTTCGTCACAATTGCCCTTAATGATCGTCTGTCACGATCACTCGGGACACACTTTCGTCCGCGCTGTGATTTAGCAGATGATGTTTTTCTGCTTTTCAAATATGCGGAATAAATCTTCGATACAGTACCTCTTGAAACACTAAACACCTCGGCTACCTTGCTTACGGAAGCACCTACTATACGTGCTCCAACAATTTGTCCACGTTTGAAGTCTGTTAACTCTGACATAATGCAATGACAACCTCACATAACAGTACTCCGACAACAACTGAACTGTTTAGCACATTTACGAAGTTGTATAGGTGGCGTCAGTAGTCAAAAACGCCAGCGCCACCTACATATTTCATTAAAATCAATCTTTCTTTTCAAACATGCATTTCACAAGGTGTTTCCATATTTTTGTCCATCCACTGTATATTGCTTTTAAAAAGAGGAAAAAAATATACATATATAGCTACTGAATTGAAAAATTAAATAATTAATAAGTTCAAATAAAACTTTAAAAAGTGCATTAAATTTAGCAGCAAAGCCAATAAGATTAATAAAATGAACAAATTCATAATCTTTTCAGGGCAGTAAGACCTAAATAATTAGTTGAAAAAAGAATAAATAAAGTTGCTCATTGTCTGAAACACACAATGAATAATTTATTATATTTTTATATTGCTCAGAAACACCACCTTTCCTGTCACATTTTCTGGGCATCCACAAAGATGTTACGAAACGTAACATACCGGTTTCTGCATTTATTTCTTTATAATGCTTTTTTTCGGCTAAATTACTTTATAATATTAAGTTCTTTTACCGTTAATTTATTCTCTTACATTTTTCTTTAAGGTACTAAACTTTTGTGTGCCGAAAAGTTAATGAAACTATGCATTTTATTTACCTAAATGATAAAACCGATAAATTTGACAGACAAACTGGACAGATTTGTTTAACACTTGCTAAGTCTTTCTGCCCGCAGAGCAAAAAATCAAGTGTAAATGCGAAGGAAAGCAAATAGAAAGAGCGTCATTTTGTTTGATGGAAAAAAAAAAAAAAAAAAAATAGCTTTCTAGTATTCAAATGTTATGAAATTTTTATTTGAAAAACTTTATTTAAAGTCGCGGTTGTGATAAACTTCGATCACAAAAACGAAAGAGCTTTGAAAGATGTTGAAACTATTTCTAATTTCCTTGTTTAAAATCTCTGAATAAATTACGATTGTTTGAAGATGCTCAAAATGTAACAATAAGTATTTCTTTATATCTTTAATAAAGTATTCTCAACACAAGTAAAATTAATATTTTAGATTTAGTGAAGAACTTATACAACACAACTTCATATTATTTCCAAACATTGTACACTGTTTACGTTTTAAAAGGACATTATGGCTGACGATAAAGACGAATTGCGCAAACGAAAGAAAGTGATTGATTTTAATGACGCTTCTTCTTTACGTGACAAAACACTGGAAAATAAATTAAACATAAACATTCCGACATATCCATATAAATCCAGTGCTGAGTATGCTGCTGCTGTGAACCGATGGTTGTGGCAATGTTATAACTGGCAGTGTATGACCCTAACATTGCCTTATTTGGTTTCACAGACTGCTTGCCGCACTCACACAAATAATGCTGATGGCACAACAGACTTTAACAGAAATTTTCCCAATACTTTTTTCCCTAATCAGAACCTTTCCGTATCGCAACCGAGGCGTCCTAATGTGTCATTCCAAGAACAAACTTCTGTATCTTCTGGACAGTCAGGTATATTTTGTGACATTTAAATCCAAAAATCATTTGATTAATTATTTCTCTAAACTCAAATGAATTAATCATCAATTGTCTTTCTAATTAATGCTTTTAATTAGACATTTCGTGAAAATTTAAATTTTAAATTCATATGTGTGTAATTTTTGCGATGTAATACACATGAAAGGATAGAAGCTTATATACTTTAAAACAGATGTATGAGTTTATTAAAAATGGGACTAATAGAATTTATTTTAAAAAGTTCATTTCTTGAATCTGGTAATAAAATATAGTTAACCATAGTGGGATTTATATCGCACAAGAAGATCATATTGACTTAATCTGTATAGAAATCAATAAGCAAAGAGCAAGAAATTTTCTTTTATTTTAAGTACAAATTTAAATTTGCTACGGGCTGATTTATTTAAATATGTGGTTCAACAGCTATTCTGCTCAATAGCATGGATTTATCGAATATTTCCACGTGGCTGTTTTCCCAATATTTGAAGTTACAGTATACCGAAATAGTTGTGAAAAGCTCAGTCATATTTACTTATCAACATTTTTACTGTACAATAATCAGGATAGTCTAGCTAATAAAAATTGTAGAATTGCTTTCAGTACAGATTTTATTGCATGTAACTGTATTTTTAACAAAGTTGATTTTATTAATTTCAGGTACTGATTATATAATACCATCCCTTTTCAAAAGATTTGCTGCTGAAGTTATTGATTTCTGCATTCTTTTGGTGTTAAAAGTGATGATTACATATATTGCTATGGACTTCTTTGACCTCGTGTGAGTATCATTCCTTTATATTTGTTTCATAGGCTTGATAATGCATTATATTAGCTCTTTAAAACTGATAGCAAACAAATTTTTTAAAGTATTTATAGTCTATAGGTGAAAATTCATTTTAAATATTTAAAATATTTTCTGCATGTTAATGTTGGGAAGAAAAGAAATTTGGGTTAATCTTCGGATTATGGTAACTTAGCGATTTTTTGGCGACCAACCCTGCTACAGCAACCTGCTAGTTTTTGTTTCGATGCCAATTTGTTTTCACACAATAAAGGCATTTTTTTTTTTTACTCAACATTTTTTTTTCCAACAATCTGCTAGCCGAATTACACTTATGGTAGAACTTTTATGGAACAAAAGTGCTTAATCATGATGAAGATTAGGTGCGAAATTGGGAGAAAGTGCAAAATCACAAACAGCTTGCTGCGTTTTTAAGAATTGCACATACACAGTATCCATGTACACGTCGACCTATTTTCACTTAAAAAAAATATCCCAGAATTGCACAAAAATAGCATTGCGCACACTCTTGACTTTATCCATGTACACTGCTAAAGTCCTAGTTAGTAACCTTTATCGCCTTACCAAAATGTCACCAAACTACTTGTTACCATATTCCAAAGATTAGCCAAAATTTTTATTTTTTATGTGATACTAATATCTCAAAATAGATGTGACGCTGGTTAGAGCTACTTAGGATCTGTATAATTGATTAAAGCCAGTTTAATGTATCCATAGGTTTGTAATATCAGTTTTATCATTGTCATGTATTTTTTATCTCTGTGTATATGGTCCTCACATTGAAAACAAGTAATGGCACCTATGTGCATCATATTTTCAGCACACAAAGTCTTTCACCTAAAATTATGCACCACAAAGCTCTGATTTGGAATTTCTAATTTGTTTTCTATTTATTTATTTAGCATTTAGTACAAACTTAAAAAAATTTCAATTATCTGACCCAACAATTTAAAAGTAATGTTTTGTCGCTCAGCAAAGCATAAGATTATTGGAGATGCAAAGGCAACAAAAACCAGCATAATATTCCTATATTTGAAGGACTAGTTTCAAAAGTTTAAATATAGAACCTCCTTCTTCAGCTGCAGAAGTGAGAATCAGCATATTATTCCTAAATTTGCAGGCCTAGTTTTGAACATTTAAATATAGAACTTTCTTCAGCTGCAGAAGTGCAAATGTCAGTAATCATTAGCACTTCTGCAGCTGAAGAAGGTTCTATATTTAAATGTTCAAAACTAGGCCTGCGTAAGATATTTATGTTTCAAATTCAATCAGAAGACGTAGTGATTTTAAAGAAATGTGTCGCCACTCAGCAAAATGTAAGATATTTGTCTCTCAAATTTAATCTTTAAAGTCCATTCATTTAAAAGGAAATATGTTGTCACTGCCTAAGTAAAATATTTTTATCTTACCATGCAGCAAAACTTATTGATGTTAAGATAATTATTTCTGGGATATTTAATTTTTCTTTCAGATTTAATCCATATTTTACTGATTAATGAAACGAAAAAGTCGCTTTTTTACATTCTCTTAGACTAAAATTAGATTAAAAATATATGAATAAAAATGAGAATGCATAATTAATGGGTAAATTTTAAAATTCATATGGATGCAAAAGTGATAATTTTCTAGTGATGATATTTCTTTTCATAGGCAAAGCTATATGCACTAATTCTCTTTTTGTTATTGACCATATGATCTTTTTGTTCATGTAAATATGAAGCATAGTCAAAAAAATGTTTGTGTCCAGTTCAAGAGATATTTCATTTTTATTATGAAACATTTGTAAAAAATCAGATGTTGAATTCATATTTAGTGTGTAAAATTCTATAATTCTCATGTCAGGAAAATTGTAAAAATTTTAATAAATATTTTTTTTCTTAAGCTACATCATAGAGGTGTTATTATTTTCATCTAATATGTAAGATCAGGCTTGGCAAAATAAAATCCATGGATACGATCATGCTTCAAAAACCGACAGTTGAAAAATAGGAAGAATCTTTAATTTTTTAAATACAATGAATTAAATCCATTTAATTTTATCTCGGCAAAAGTATTATTAAAAGCACAAGGGCTATGTATATTGGTATTAAGTTAATAGAAAATTTATATTCATTTTTAATAATTCAAGGTTTAGATAAATCTTTATCTAATTAACTAAAATTTTAATAAATTTTGGCATTCACATTTAATGATATGGATGAGCCTGTTAATGTTTACATTGTTTTTCTATTTAAATATGGATGCTGGTAAGCATAAGATTGGCACATAATTTAAATTCATTTTGGTTGTTGTTGTTGTCTCATCCTAATATATTCATGGAAGAATGGTTGCCAGAGCCTCAAGGAGGTTAAACTTCTACTTCCATCCCAGTTTTGAGGGAGAGCACCCTGGAGCATGATCCGAGGGTCTCCCACTCCTCTCTGCTACCCCCAAACCACACAAGAGAACTTTTGGCTCACTAGATATTTAGGGATTACTTACCATTTAAGAAGTAAAACTTCATTGAATGTCAATTTTTGCATTCTGTATTGTTGATCAAAATGCCATACTTCTCAAGAAATGCGACTTTGTTATCAGCTAGCAAACCCTATAATCCTATTAGAATTCCTTACAAGCAAACAAAATGTACTTGATGAAAAACGAATACTAATCAGAAAACTGTCTATTGATTTGAAGGCCATTTGCTGTGCACATGCATATACTTGGTTTGCCTCTTAGGTACATTTTGGCAATGTCATGGATTGCCTATTTTGGTGGCAGTGTATTGCCGTATGAATACTTTTCAAGAGTGTGCAGGTAATCAGAAAGAACCTTCCTCCCCCCAGAATAAAGTTTTAACATTCCTTGGAAAGGTTTCTTGTTCAGTATGATTATAAGAAAAACAAACTGGCCTGCCATATAGTTGGGTCCAGGTTTGAAGTTCAGAGAAAACATGGATATTAGTAATTGTCTGTCCCTATCCCTATGATGTGGTGTCAGTTATAGGCTAATTCACTGAGTGTATCTATTTTCAGGTTTTCATAGTTTTTAAAATATTAATTTAAATATCTATTTAGATTTAAAATGTGCCCATTACTCGAAATTTATTTTTTCAATCTTTTGCAGTGTTATGCATTTTTTTCTTTGATTTAGGAATCTAGACAAGTATGATCTGGATTTGTTTAAAAATGACAAGTTAGATTATCATAAAGCTATGGAAGTCACATCCGAAATTATTGCTCTGGAAATTATTCATAGATTTGTTGTTTGCATATTTGAGGTAAGTATTAAATTTATGTTATAATTTTCTATTTCAGTAACTTTTAGGAAGTTGTTTTTACTGTATTTCTATTAGTTTAACTATACTGATTAGACTTGAAAATTATTAAGGCAAAAAATTAACTACCTTTTAATAGTTCTGGAAAGAGACTGGAGTTGTAAAAATTTAGAAGTGCAGGGGAGAGCCACTAAGAAGGAAGTTTTGCCTGCTATGAATCCCAAACTTGTTTTTTTTTAAAAAAAAAAAGTTAGTGTCTCCTGATTATCTTCATTCCCCTCCTGAAAGTTCCCAACTCATTGGCAACTGATTTTTTACTAAGCAAAGCTCTAAAAAGCAAAAGCCATTTCCAAAATTACAGTACAATAAGAATTTAATAAAAGAGCAAACAATAAATGGCATTTAAAAAGCAAGAACCATTTTTATTTAAAGACTTACCATTTTAAGAAATCCTTAAGTAATTTTTTTTTTCACTCTTGTCCCCCATATCTACAGCAGTTTTCCCTTGAAACAACATGGTAGAATTGCATAAATTTGGTACTCTGCATTCTAACACTTTGTTTGCAATTTTTCACCTTGCATGTCTATAAAATTTCATCATTTAAGATGAATTTGCATTCTCTACTATTGGACAAAACACCATGTTCTCAAAGAAATTCTTTTTCATCAGGCAGCCATCCCCATTCCCATTAAAAAAAAAAAAAAAAAAAAAAAAACCCACAATGTGCCCAATAAAAAAAATAAACTCAAGTCAGAAAAGTGACCATGGAGGGCTGTATGTGTGCACATACTTGTTACCACACAAGTACATTTTGGTAATGTCGGTTGCCATATAAATATGCCAGCAACATAGTACCTCATGACTATTTTTCAGGGATGTGTAAATAATCAGAAAAAACTAAAATGTTTGGCTGATCTGTGCAATAAAAAATGAACAATATTAATTTAAATTACCTGCTAAATTTTAATAGATAATACAGAAAAATATTATTAAGTATGGAATTTTGATAAAATAAGAAAATTTGATAATATATTGAAATTTCAGAAAGTTGTAAAACAGCTGTGCATAGCCACGTGCAGTTGCTTTAACGTATTTAGTGTCCTTTTGAATAATTTAGTAGTGAATTTGTTTTACATTATGTAATATTAAATTAGTAGGATCATTTACATTCTTTTTTGTGTATTGCTTACAATTTGGTGCGATCTAATACTTTATCACTTTTTTAATAATTTTTACTCTCCAATAGTTTTAGTAATTTATTTGAAATCTTTTCCTCAGTGCTACATTTTGAAATAAAGCTTTCAATCTGTTTGCATTTTATTTGGGTTAGTGATTGTATATTAGTTTGCCTACCCAAAATGTTAAATGTTTCTTCAGTTGATTTGTGCTTCGTTCACAAACTGGGTTTTTTTTTTTTTTTTTTAATTTTCAAACTAGTACTTTTATTTAGTTAGGTATAGTTTAAATCATTTCTTTTTTTGTATAGGTTTTCTTTTTTGTATAGGTTTGTTAGGTATAGTTTAAATCATTTCTTTACTATCCGTTGAATCTGTAATTGCATATTAAATTGTCACGTTAAAAAGTATATTGTTTGCGTGATGTGAATGTGCAGTGGGAAATATCTTTTGACAATAAGCCATAGTTTCTCTGAATTTTGGTCACATTTTTCAGTCCTTAGATTGCATTGTTGTTTTTTAATCCCATTTTGTTATTTCAGTTTCAAAGAAAGCATATAATAGCTTCTTCATGAACTGTAGTAAAAATGTGAATAAACTGTGACTAAACTTTAACTAATAAATAAAACATAAAGGATTGAAACACATGTGGGAATAACTGTATGCAATTAAAATTTTGCATATATCTATTTGTTTATTATTTGAGATTTTCATTTGGAAAGTTAATCTTCTGAGGACTCAGGATATAGTATTTTAAAATTCTAGGAAATCAGCAAATTTTATTGTATTTTATAGCTATTGTCTGATATAATTACATCTGAGAAGTGTTTGGTTTTTCTGTAATGTAAGAATTAGACAGCCCTGGATCATTGAAATAGACATAAAAGTACTCAAAGAAACGTTTCTCTCCAAAGTGGTGAACAAGTTCACAGATGTTCTCCAAAGTCACAAGGACTTCATGACTTTTCATTAAGAGTGCAGATAATTAGAAATCACCTTAATTTTTTTATTAAAAATGCCATACCATGAATTTTTTCTTTATTAAAAGCTTTTTTTTTAATTGAAAGTACATGTCAGTGGGCAGTGATTGTGAGTGAAAAGCCATATAAAGACTCTTATGAACATGCTGTATGTTTTTCAGAAAATACATTCATCTTTTCTTTTATTTGAGAAATGTACGTTTCATAAGTGATTTTATATAACTTAAGTTCTTTTTTTTTTAGGCTTTATGCATTCACAAGGGAATCATGGGTAATGGAGGTGCTACACCTGGTAAAAGTCTAATGCGACTTCGAGTTGTGTCATGTCATTCTGTGGTGCCTATTGATGCAAACATTATAAGAGTCTACCCAGCTGGTGACATAGGAATAGGATGGTAAGAGAGATGTTTCAGTCAAAAGTGCTCTTTAGAACATTATTTATTCGTTTCTTTTATTTTCAGTTTTTATTAATTTATTTATTTCATAAAAATTTCATTAGAAATGCTTGACGTGAAAAAATATGAAAGGTTATTTATTTGACACACAACTATACTAACTTCATTTTTATCTTATTTAATTATCTTTACTAACTGCTAGTACCGACTGTCTGCTATTTATTACATTGCATTCAGTAGCTATGATGCAGGGTTTTAGAATTCTTTAATATATTATTTTGAAATATGTATTCATACTTGTCATTTAAGATGGCATCTAATAAAAGATTTTTGGGTTTTATGCAGTATTAATGAAAGCATCATTGTCTTCATAAATTACTTATTGACAAAGGAGAGGCTTTCGTTGTTTGTTTATAGTAGTATTGGTATTTGAAAAATAGTAGAACTTGAATCTCCAAATAAGTAGTTGTTTTTCCTTCTAAGAAATCTAATTTTTAAAGTATTAATAAAACTCGTAAAGTTTATAATAACTGTTCACATAAGAAATTCCTTCTTATTTTTCCTTACCTAAAAATAAAATTTCATGACATATTTTATACATACCAAGGAAATACAAGGAACTTTTACTAGTTAATAAATTTTAAAGAAATGTACAGAAAAATTTCATTATCAAGTTTAATTTTCTTTGAAAATGTTTCAAAGACTGATTTCTTTCTGTCTGACTATTGAACTAATATCACATATCCAGAAAAGCTGATATGATTCTCATTTGATATCAAATATCTACAAATTCCATCCCTCGGAGTTCTTTGGTCAAAAAAAAGATCACAAACAAGATAAATAAACAAAGTTATGCTGTTTCCAATATTTGAGTTCAGTGACATATTGGCATATGTTCAATAACATCACTGGACTTGTAGAAGTGAGAGAAATAAAACCACAGTTACTTTTATTCCACAAAGTGGACTAATAAATTATGATAAATGGCAACACTGTTTACTATTAATTTTAAATAAAAGCTAGATTAAAATTTATTTATGATGGAAATATAATCAAATTCTGATATATCAAAGTTTTGGTTCACATTCATATACATGAATGGCATAATGGGTTGGAACTCCATTATTTTGAAACCATGGCCAGAATCATACAGGCATGGGAGCATTATTCAGTAAATCCAGCAGAACCTTCTCCAGAAAAATCTGATATCTTTGGGCATGCTTTCAGCATGGTAGCAGCTATGGGGCAAACAAAGAGATACCTATGATACTTACCCATACATTAATGGTATATTATTGTTCTGCAGTATATGACTGCATTGCATGTAGATTGTCTAGGTCCATATGTGTGCATTATGGAGACTGAGGACTATTGGATACTTCGTGAACATAAGACAATTTGAAAATTCCATATTCCCTGTACTTTTCTGCTGAAACTAGTATGTATCTGTTATATATTGCAGATAATCTTATGTCTGTAGCAACTTGATGCATTATAAATAAAATGGCTGTACAGATGCAGTATGCACACTATACGTTGACTTGAAATGCTCCTGTTGCAATAGCAATCACATATAACCTTGTGTCTGGCCTACTGTCCCCCACATGCTGTGCATTCTTTCTTGTGATGAAGTTCAGGTTCATGGTAGCTGCCTGATATGCTGCAAGTGAATCTTGTAGGATCCATGTTTACACTGTTTCAAAAGCAAAACATTAGATGCTGTGGTTACATCTGGTTCAGTACCTTTCCCGATACATTCTTACAGTGGCTTATTCTTTACTATCAGCTAACCTAGCATGCATATACATTAGGTGAAGTTTTTGCAGAATGATGCACGTTCTCTGTGTTATTTTATAATCTTTAATAAGAGATCCTCCTGTGTCAGTCTGAAGTTTTAGTATAGAGTACCATCTGTCTATTTCTGGTCCTGCTGCTGTATGAGTATGGTTCATATTGATGTTTTTTAACTCTCTCAAAATTTATACTACCCTAATTGGCTAAATTTCCTGTTAATTGTCTTGTGCAATTTATGTTTATCTTGTGGATATAAAAATAATTATCTGTGTAAGTTAATCAGTATGATATTTTTACTCATAAATTACTTTCATTTTCTAGGGCAATGTTGCGAGCATTCATTAAAAACTTCTCCCTGGCTTTCATCTTCCCAATATGCTTTACAATGTTCTTCTTTCAACATAACAGAACTGCTTATGATTTAATTTGCAATAGTATTGTTGTTGAAGAAATGCCTAATAGAGCACAGAGAAATTAGCAATTGATACTTTAATAAAAATTCCTTTTAAACTGGTTGTATATATCACCTTATGTAAGTGCAAGCAATCATTTATATGTGATACAAAATATATCTCTCTTATTCCTTTTATTACTAGTGCAAAATGCAATAATTTGTAGGATAATTTTTTTAAATATTAGTATACTGATTTTTATGTCATCTTTTCATAGCTTTTTTGATCTCAAGAATTCTATATCAAGCATATTTATGCAGAAGAGTATAATATTAAGCGAAGGTGGAAATTAAAATATGATACAATGATGCCAGTGTGAGTTTAAAATTGCTAAGGTTTTTATGTTCAAATATATTTTACTATTTTATGAGGTTTTTGAAAAAGGTCACTATAGGCTTTATTTCCTTAAATATTAATTCTCAAAATTTATTTCAGTAGTTTTTCAGAGTAAAATGAAGAATTTTATGAAAACATTTTTAACTGTAGAGAGAGAACAGTTATATATATAATGCTGTACTTTTGGTGGAAGATAAAGACAATTCACGTTCTAATCATGGCCAAAAATACTGCTGCATCGATGATTGCAAATTGCGAAATAGTGGAATGACCTGATGGAATTTTAGAAGAAGAACAACCCACTTGATAGTTGAACATCATTTGTTTTTGGATGATGAATTTCGTAGCAGATATCTTCATAACTAATAGAAAGGTAAGGGTGCTGTACTGCTGCATTTTAAATAATAGCGAAATAGCTAACAGAGGTTGAGCAATGCACCGTCAACAGGCAGGCGAAAAAAGAGAGAGACTACGCAGTTAGTAGCTATTTATACTAGATGGGGGCATAAGTATAGCTAATCTGTGATTGGTCAATTTTGGGTTTTAGGTCCATTTTTCAAGCAGTAATATATAACACGGGAAGATATCAAATTTGAAACAACAGATGAATTTAGGGGAAGAACGCAAAATCTAGAATAGCTAATTTTTTAGGTTGCCAATCGTTTCTTAGTGCAGCCATCATATTTTGTTATATCTTATATATATTAACTTGAACTTAGTTGATAGCAAGGTTTAGTAAGTAAAATGTTCATTTTTCTCCGATTAGTTAAATTCTGTTTTTATACGTACACTCATCTGATAAATATTCGGAATACTTTGCAAGCCTTTTATCTGTTAGTAGTCTTTTGTGCTCTTGCTCATTTAGAATGAGAAGGCCCTAGTAAATTTTCATTTATGTCACTAATACTAAGGGAAAATTTTGAAGAAATTTAATATGAAAAATAGGAAAGAAAAAAATTGAATTTACTGCATTTATTGCACTAGCTATGTAACTATGCGCAGCTAAGCTATACAGTGCTGACTAATGTCAAAACATGGTTCCAGATACTTAGCAAACAGGACATTCAAATGACACATATGTTTAGCTAATGTGTGGACATTTAGCTAACAACACACTCAGCTAATGGCACATTTAGCTGACAATGTATACATTTAGACAAAAACATGCAATGGTGTTTCAGTAACATCTGTAAGGCCTATATCACACAGATTTGTTTCACACGAACAACTGTTTCGGACAATTTTTCTGTCTGGTTCACTATTGAAAGAAAGACATGCAATTTTTTTTTTTTCCTTTCAAAAAAAAAAAAAAAAAAAAAAAAAATTGCATGTTGTTCATTTTCAACCAATCAGCTGTCATGAATGCTATCAGCTTGTTTGTAATGGAGAACCAGTTTTTCCTTTGTTAACCCCAAAGCAATCAGTGGTGACTGGCTGTTGTGACAAAGCAGAAAAATTGTTCCTAACAGTTGTTCTTCCGAAACAAACGGATGTGTGATAGCAGCCTAAGGCTGTTTCCAGGACAATTTGTGGAACAGCCTAAGGCTGTTTCCACAACAAGAGGGCATATGAACAAGTACTTCATTTTTGTCTTTATTTAATGCTATACGGAGAAACGATTTTAAAATTAGACAGAAAAGCAGCTTAAGATTCTCATGGGTTTTGAAAAATTTTAAGAGTGATCAGACATAGGCCTTCCTATTTCAAAAGAGGGAAAGAAAATTTCAGCTGTGGGAGGAGAGGAACAATTTTATATGGAAAGTAGTGGATGGAGAAAGTGAATATTAATGTAGAATGATCTGTTGAAGAAAACAGCAATGAAACTCAAAAAGCTAAGACATTAGAATTTTGAAAACACTGGGAAGAGATCTATTAGAAATTAGATTTTTTTTTAATGTGAAGTGGTTTAAAGAAATCCTGTTTACTGATCTACTAAATGTTATGGATAATATTTGGAGATCTAGAGTCAGAATTATGACTTGCAAGAATTAAAATTAGACATGAGATCTTAAACAACAGAGTCTGCTGATAGGTGAAGAAGTAACTTAAAAGTTGAATTTATGAGGAATCAGAGCAATTTTGTAATTAATAGAAATGTTAAATAGTTGTTGGATAAATATGGATAGATTTTACTAAAAGATTATTGCATGTTTAACTGTTACATTGCTGTCAGCTAAATGTAACATTTAAACATGATATTAGCTAATTGTCCATGTCAGCTAAATGTCCTGTCAGCTAGGTCCCATGGAAACAAAACATTAATGTATACCTTGCCACGTAAGTATTGCATGATAATGCTCTATCCCATATCTGCACATGATTGGCAACAAATGTGCTAAAAAAAGTTGTAATATATTGTTTTGAGATATTTAGAAGTATTTGGTAAATATGGTATCAAGTATTCTTTTTGCATTAAATCTGCAAATTTAAAAATGTTTAAATATTATTAAAAATATATTTATAAAAGGTGATGATTATTTAGATGAAGATAATATTCAGTGAAATAGATCATCATTTACACATGTAATCATACATGTTATGACAAGTTTATTTCATTTAATTAAATACTTACAAGTTTGACCATTTTTTAACAAATAGGATTGATGAATACTTATTATTCTTTATGAAAATGTTACAATAGATATTGCTGTTTTTAAATAAAAAGCTTCCATTTCAGAGGATTCATAAAGCATAACTTTTTTTTCCAATTTTCTTTTATATCTGCATAACTGCAAGCATTTCATTGATCTCTTTAATAAAAATTTTATTCCTATGAAAGTTTCACTTTTATGTATCTGTATGTAATATTTCTATTCTTTGAACATTATATATAATTTTATTTGAATGTTTTTAATTAAAGAATTGTAAGTTTGTATGAAGCATTTAGCAATGTATAATATTTCAATGTTATTATAGGAAATGTGTAAATAGTTTTGTGTAAAATATATTTCATTTAATAATGTTAAGATTTTTTAATCTCCTGTGATGAATAAAAAATTCCTAAACATTTTTTAGTATTTTTTATTATTGTTGTAATGTGTTATTTCCTGATTTGTAACAGATTGCGATGTACAGTAGAATATCAAGTACACAGTTTTTAATTATATATAAATTTTCAAATCTCAGAAATATATTAACTGAAAATAATACTAAAGAACTTCAAGTATATGCTCTGGAGCTTAGCTTAAGTTTTGTGTATACCTGTTTTTCTTAGTTAGATAAAGAGTTAAAATTCATTTTCCTTCTACATTATTATTTTATCTTATGGAAAATGGTTTACCTCTTCTCTTTTCTCAGATTCATATCAAAAAGTGTAATCTAGCTCCTAAAGCTGTTTGTTGTTGCATTTTCTGTACTCCGTATGTTTTTCAGGTAAGTTTCCGTATGTTTGACCTTAAACATTTAACATATCCACCTTCTCTCTCTCTCTCTCTCTCCGGTTCATATCTTAGTATTTTTGAGTGAAAAGTGTACAAAGTAAAGAACTTACAATCTTACTGTCATAGATCTTTCTTCAGATTAAGGTATATCATTGATTGCATACTAAATTTGCTTTGCTAAAATGAGAAGTTTTATGCTGAAAAGATCTGAGATTTTAAGATAGGTGGCGCAACCAAAATCATCATTAAATCATCTTTTAATCATGAATTTTTACTTTTTTTTTTTAAATGATGAAAATTAAATTTTAAAACTGTTGAGTAACAATACCAAAACTGTGTTTGGTGGATTTAGCACAAAAGTTAGAGATTCCGTCTCCCAAACCGATGTTGCTGTAAATGTAAGAATATCAAGTAAATGTTACTATACGTGTACAAGAATATCAAATATAACTTTAAATTTAATGGATTATTAAACTTCAAAATGGAATTTTGGTGATATTGACAAGTTTGTTAATCTGTCAAACTTCTGATTTACTAGTTAGGGTTTTGATAATCATGGGAAAATTGAAGGCAAAATGTATTATAACTTATAAAGCTTTGTTTTTTGATTGAGTGGCTTAATAAATTAAGAAAAGATATGGTGTAGGAAAAACAATGATGAATTTGCAGCTGTGAACTTTAAAACAGTTTTGTTTCTTTTATTTCATAATAGTTCATGAAGCTTAATAAAAGATAAAATTATTAGCTGAAAAATATGTACTAAGCGGGTAAAATTTAGTTGTTTTATAATTTATTTCATCCAGAAAAATAACATAATTTGATGTATGTCTCAGCACAAAGGGAAAGAAATTTTAAGTAATTGTTTTATCTTGTGCTGTTCTTGATAGCTCAAAAAATCATTGCTGTTTATTATTGGAAATCCTGAAAAGTTCCTTTATTTGAAAATGATTATTCCCCTATTCTCTGAGTGTACTGGAAACAGAAATACATGGATAACACTATCTTTTATGGAACATTCTTAATGCAATTATATACTGATAATCTAAATTAAGTGAAAGGAATCAAAGTAGTGAATTTCTTAGCCACAGCTTGATTAAAAAATATACCTAAATCTAAGAACGTGTGTTTCATCAATGGAGGCGTAGGATATTTTTTTGTTTTTTAATTTAACAAGTTATGACTTGCATTAATATTTCTACTTCTGATTTTATTATTTCTCACACAGTTCATGTGATGTACTGCAGTTAGAGTGTATGTAAAATGTGACTAATGGCTTCTAATATCATTGTAGTCAAATAAGATAGTAAATGAGATAAGCATAGTGAAGAGAAAGAATATTCCATTTTTAGTTCTAGATATAAATATTGAAGTGATTTTATTATTATTATTTTAATTTAGATTGTATATTGGTCAAAAAGTTGTCTTTTATAAACACATTAGTAGTTTCTTATTAATGAAAACACCAAAAATGTTTTCTTGCTAAGCATGAAAAGTTGCCAGATATTTTAATTCGTACAAAAGCTTTTCTTAACAACAACTTGTATTCACAAACTGGCATTGCTACATCTTGATTTGGTTTGGTTATGACTAACTGCATTGAGGGAGGACTTTGTAAGGAAAGCTGGCTCGTATGCGTGTTACACATGGGGAAAACCATGGAAACTCTTATGCAGCCAGCCTGTTCACTGAGATTTGATCCTACCTGTGACTTTACCACTCAGCTGCTGGTGTACCTACTATATCTTGATGGAGATATTTAATTTTTTATTTGCGTACCTGTGCATTCAACTTGTAACAAATAAAATTATTTTAATCATTGATGTATTATGCTGTTATTTCCTGAATTTAAACTGGCAGCATTGCTTTATCAAAGTAATGTGAGGGTTTACAATATCCCCTCCTTCACGTACAGCTGTATTCTTTTGGGTGTTGTGTTTAATGAGAAAGTACCAACATGTTTATCTGTCAAAATTCCTGCCAAATTAGATTTGATCTTTGGCTACTGAAATCTTCCTAAAAATTTCATCAGTACACCAATTACTTCAGATTTGTAATATTAATGTAATTTTGCATCTCAGCTATGCAAAATATCAAGTGTTTCAGTTTTGAGTGAAACTATGTAAGATATTTGGGCACAAGGGCCCTGACAGCCAGCACTGGTCATGTTGTACTTTGAGGTCAGACACCAATGATCAACGATGCGAGTTTGCTTTGAACATACTGGTCTTGTTCTTATAGTATTTCATTTGGTGTTTTTTGTTTTTTATTAAGTGTTAAATCTATTATGTTTAGTAGTATTTTTTAAATCAAGAACCAATTTTAATTACCTTTAATTTATAATCTACTAAATGTTTTTGATGAGATTAGGTGTTTCATGCTTGAGGTGCCAAAATGTGCTAATAAAGTTAGTTGTTTATTAGCAAGAAATATTTAATAAACCTAAAAAAGAACTCGGTTTTGCTGTTTTATTGATTCTCCAGTTTTTATTGAAAAAAGAGTCATATTTATGTTAGTTTAGGTCAACAAATATTACATAAAGTGTGTGTGTGTGCGTGTGATTAAGGCAAAGCCTCGAGGGCTATCTGCCTAAGAAGAGGGATGCCTTCGTGGAGGACTTTCTAAGGGAAACTGGCTCGTATACACGTTACACATGGGGAAAACCACGAAAACGCCCATGCAGCCAGCCCGTTCGCGGGATTCGAACCTCGGACCGAACTACCAGTGTTCAGCGACTTTACTGCTTACATAAAGTGAGAGAAAGAGTTGTGTTATTTAGAGAATAGGTTGAAAAACAATTTTTTTAACATTTCATTGTATATATGCAAAGATTTTCCAGTTTGTACTTGTAAAATAAAATTTCTGCAACCAAGAGAGATTTCGTAATCATCCAAGAAAACATTAAAAAAAAGGACCATTGGAACAATCGATTAGAAACCTATAAACATCCTTTAGAAGTTGCAGCATAAGTCCAAGGTGAAAGAAAGAATTTAAGCAGCTCAATCGATAAAAGAAGGACTAGTAACATAACAAAATAAACATGGGTATATGTTTTGCGATATGTAAATGAAACGAAAAAGGCCAAAACATGGCACCATTTATTTTGAGTGTGATCCAGATAATAAAGAGAGTGGTCACCCCATCCAGCTTTACATGCCTCTTAATAGGCTTTCATTTTCTAAATGAGGTTTTGATTGCAACAAATTTCATTCTTCTGAAGGCGAGGGTTTTAATGCTTGGAGAGACATGATGTTGATGTCATGCAGTGGCTGTTACTGGCACATCCCCAACATGCTTTGTAAGATTCAAGTCTTGGTGACTTCGATGGCCTCACATAAACCAATACCTTCTCTCTCCAAAAAATTGTCAACCATTTCAGTTGTGTGTGACCTAGCATGGTCGTCCATAACATTCCAACAACTCCCCGAAAACTCTGTATGAACCTTACCAATATAATGCTATGTGGTCTTAGTGCCTGCATGCATTTGATAACATGAAGGGTCATGCAATGATCCATGCCTCATCACACAGAAATTCTACTTTCAAGTTAGTACTCAGTTTCCCATATGTTGGAAGAATGACAAAGAACTAGCTCTCTCTTGATGAAGACTCATTAAGAGTCATTCTATGTATAGAATCTTGATGTACTAAAGAGGACATGGGCCTAGTATTTCTGTGTCTAAGAATGGTGTGCGTAGCTAAGCAAAATACGGGCAATTCTCTGAAATCTGGTTAAAGGGGGTCTCGTAATGCTGATTGCCAGGCATAAAAGACCTGCTGTGTCCAATACCTATAAACAATGTCATTAGAAATTCAGCTGCACCCTGAAAGAGCTCTTTAGCTGTCCCCTCTATATGGTATCTTGCATTTAATGCGATGTAATGAATTCTCCATAGGTGTTGTGGCTCTATGATGGCCTTAACCAGGCCTCCTCGTGGATGGCACCTAAACTTTGCAACATAAATACTGCAATTTGAGGCAATAACAATGAGCAACTTCCATTTGAGATTGGCCTACCTCAAACCTAATGGTGGCTTTTCGTTTCATACGATCATCTAAATGATTGTGAGAATTCATTTTAACTTAAAAAATGATTGCGAGAATTCATTTTAACTAAAATCAGTCGTCGTCTTCTTTTCTTTCCCCCCTCTAACACCCACAATTTTATAAATGAATTCACATTTCTCACTTTCATGTTTTCTTATAAAATACATCCTTTCAATTTTTTAACAACTACTACGTTATATTCACCATTCCCCAGATCATAAATACCATTATATATAAAGTATTAGATGTAAAGTGTATTGGTGCAAAATGATTGTATGAGTTTCTTATTGATCGAGTTTTTGAATTTTTGTATATTTTCAGACTTTTAGCCTTCTTGAAACTATTTTCATACAAAGATTGTTTGAAATTAATACCACATAAATCTTCAAATGATTGAATGAATGATGAATTCCTGTTCTAAATTCCTAAATATTTGATGTAATGCGACCCGTGGCTTCAACGTATAACTTGTCTTTGAGGGTACAAATTTCGACCGCTAATTCCTTCGACAGTAATTAATTTACATATTGCTAAAGGAAAACAAAAATTAAGATTTTTAAGGTAATGCCTGAATATGAAAAAAAAAAAAAGTTTTTTAAAATGACAACATTCAAGACAAGTAATTAGATATCTAATACAGTCGACTCTCGTTGCAAACACCTCGCATATTAAGAAAATTTCGGTTATAAGAAGAAAAACGTTTTAGTTTAATGATAAAATTCAATGCAATGCATGTTTTGAAGAAAGAAGAAAAATAAAATTTCGAATATAAAAAAGTTAAATTCTCAAGTGTTATTAATGCTTATACCCTATCTGTTTTGCCCTATTAAATTTTACAATGTGTTTAAAAGTGATCGATGAAATTTTTCTCCCATGTCATCAAGCTTCCATTTTTCCAACAAAAAGATAAGTATGACATCTATGAGTGATTAGATAATTAAGATATGCAGAAAAACTTTCTATGGTGATTTTCAGCCTATTACTTTCAGTCTTTCCAAAAGGGATTTTGCTGATGCAAAGCGTGCATTAAACGTATTCTCGTACTCTTCTGTATCTGGCAGACCGAGATGTTGAAGTTGCCAATGTAACTGGTGCAATAGTCAATTCTGCTTTTTGGAGATAACAATGCCGGCCTTTTTTAGATTCCAATTCGGTTTTTTAGAAAATCCTATAAAACTATTGCTGAAAAAAAAAAAAAAAAAACCTTAAGTCCTGCCGAAGTTTGCAAGTAATAGAATCAACTAAAGAGAAACATTATGTGGTTTAACCATCACGCTAATGATTAAAATATAACTGCGACCGGCAAATGGTCACTACAAAAGCGTATTTCGTTGGTGAGCTGTTTAGAGTGTATGTGATTTAAATATAACCTTTTGCTTTCAATTTATAATTTAAGCACATCACAACTTCAACTTCAAAAATGCTGTTAACTAGATGCCACAAGAGGTGTCGGGACACCTGAGAAAGTCATACTGCTAAACAACAAAGATTTTCTGGCTTTAATTTTATATACAACATGTCCCATGAAGATTGTCCAAACTCTGCACAGCCAGATTCCTCGCTTGGAATACATAAAAAATGGCCAAAGAACTGTATCTGTATGACCCTTAATTTTCAAGATGAATGCGAAAGAAAGGTATGGATAGGCCACTGGATTGGACGAAGAGGGTCCAGTTTTGTGGCCACCACGATCGCCAGATCTGACACCTTTCATTTTCTTCTTATGGAATTAGTCTATCAAGACCTAGTTGATGTCGAAAGTGGCTTTGTTTTTCGTCTTCATGCTGTGTTTACTTTGGTGGACACCATGCAGCTACAACGTGTGCAGTCAAATTTTCCCTATGGTGCGCATCCACGTTTACATTTTACGTTTTACCACATAATGTACTTCAAAAATTACTGTTTGATATGTTCTATCACCCTTTTAAATTTATGACAACTAATTACACTCTGGATATATTAAAAAGAAATAAAGTATTTGTGTGCATAACTGTCAATTTATATTGCTTTTAGAGATCTTTGCAGTTCCGATTGGTTTATACAATAAATATTTCTTGATGTAAAAAGCTTGATTTAATTTTGATTCAATCTGTGTATCATTAGCAGGTGCAACAGACATTTCTTCTTATTAAAAATTCAATTTATTGGCCGACTTGCAGCTTTATACTGCAAAGATACAAACTTATATTAACTTTCAAGTGTTAGACTGGAATCTGGTTGAAAAGTGCTCGCCTTTCTCAAGAATCTGTGTTTTGAGTTGGTTAGTTAAGCAACTATGGGAAAGAACATAATACATATTCCTTATAAAGTAGAAACTCCTTAATATTTAATTAAAATCGAAATATTATAATCTCCATCATGACGATGCATAGCCCATTCCGTTTTCAACAACGAATCCAACCTGCATCTTCCAAACTTTTCCGAATTTGGAAAGACTCAAAAAGAATTTCTTTTCAGATTAAAGAACAAAATGCGATATCTTCTAAAAATATTTTATTAATCTTATTTGTAAATAAATATATTAAAATTGTTTTTCCAACAATATGGTGAATATTACACATCTACAAAATATTTTCTCCGTGCTTATATTTTATAAACAGTAACATTTTTAAGATATAAAGGGAAAAAAGGACAGGAAATACAAGACATTAAATAAGTGCCATTTATACTAACTATTAACTGTAAAAAAACTAACAGTAAGTAAGGCAAATGGAATTTGAATGTTAAATGAGCCTTAATTTTTCTGGTTATTTTCAAAGAAATAAAGTTTATTAATATTCCAATCTTATATCAATTAACTATTTTTATGAAATTTATCATTTGATTTGAAATTGGTATGAATTGATTTCATTTTCTTACATATCCTGGAATACAGTATATATAAATGGGCATATTACATATCCTGGAATACAGTATATATACATGACATACTTAATTTCCATCCATTAAAATAAAAATTCCAGGTCATTATAACCATTATACAGGTTTGCGGAAAAGATGGCTGCTAACTTTATTTCCTTAAATGTTGATACGAGACGTATACTTTAGTTAGCAGTTTAATAATTAGGAGTATCTCCTATGCCACGTTCCAGTATCACACTCTTAGGAGTAAGAGGATTCTTTAAATATATAAATCTAACTTTCTATATGGCATCCTCAGTGCAGTATTAAGTCCGCTTAGTAAAATGTTAACCAATGCTATTCTACTTGCTGCAGAATCATTAATTACGAAAACAAGTAACTTTTCAATTGTAATTTCTCCCTAAATCTAATAAAAGTCTATTTAAAATCTCTTATAAATAGGTTTTGAAGAATTTTCCAAGTCAATAAATTCATTCTTGAATACCTCCTTAATGTTGCACATGCAGATACGCAACTTCTAGTATTCAGTAAAGCATACTGTACATTTTACTAAATGACTTTTCGTTACGCGGTACAATATAAAAAATATTACATTTTCATCTTTACAGAATTTCTCCTCTGTCAACCCAACTCAATTATATTCATGAAATCCTCTATTTTATTTTGAGAAACTCCATATTCGAAGTATATGTATGGTATCAATATTAGTGAAATAAAGTCTACAGCTTCCTTTTCAGGAAGAATATCATGCATAGGAATGAAGATTGGGGGGGAAAAAAAAAACGCAAGAGTATATCTATATATACAAGGCATTTCAGCAAATCAGTTACAAACTTTCAGGATAGATAGTGTACATCTGGACGATGGAAAAAACACATAGCAATGTATCGTCGGGAACACTTTCCTGGTGTGGTAGTGACGACACAAAACACAAGAAGGGAGGACACGGACAGGGGGAGAATATATGCTTAGTGCAGAGGAAACCAAGAAATAAGAACAAAAACAGACGACCATCATCAAAGATGGTGTTTGAAATTACTTTCGAAACGTATCCTCAAGATGGTGTCGGCAGAAGTGGTCTGGTGCATTGGTCAGCAAGATCGCCAGACTTCACTTGCATTGACTACTTCCTCTGGGGGTACGTCAAGACATTGATGTAGGAAACCCCCGTTAGAACTACAGAGGAACTTGTTGCATGCACCATGGCAGCTGCTGGGGAAGTCTAGAACATGCCCGGTATTTTCCAGAACATCGAAACTTCCATGTGCGGGAGCAGTGCAGGTTTTATGTATAAGCTACACAAGCTATAGCTTAGGGCCCCCGCTTTCTTGGGGGCCACCCAAAACCCTCTAGATATTCAAAAATCATATTTGACATTGACATATAATATCTGCACTTATAATGGGCCCTATATCTTAAAATATTTTAGGGCCTTACCAACTAACTCCAAATCCGGTTCTGTGCGGGAGATGTGAGATCTACATCAAGGTCCGAGGTCGTAATTCGAACACCTTCTTTGGTCTAGTTTTGTTCTTATTTCTTGATTTCTGCTGTACTAAGCATAATAAACATGTTTATAGACTTAATGGAACACGGCTCTGATACTTCACTGAGTAAAATTCTAATTCCAGCCACAGAATGCCCGAGCTTCAAATGACATTAGCTCCTATATTTTATTGTATAACTGAATCGCAATATTATCAAAAAATTTCTTTTAGCTGTTAGTAAAACTTACAGTCATACTAACATGTACACTTTCATTTCCTGATAACAGCAACATACGCGGGAAAGGTGAGGAAGTGAGTGAGCATGTGGGGAAGAAATCCTCCATGATGAAATACAATCCCTTCAGGAAAAGGAAGTACAAAATCTATCCCAAAAGTATCGAAGCACTTTGAATGTCTTGGAAACAGGCCTAGATGCATTATTATTTGGCTGAGAATTGGAATGTACTTCACTGTACATTTGTGAGCGGCCATTCCTACGTTGCTGTGTTAGCTCCAGTTCTGTGTTACTATCATATCCGCAATGGCTGAACGGATCCATTCGCGAGCCTCAGAACTGAGTAGTGTAACAATTTTATCTGCAGTTCACTCATCTGAAGGTGCAGCACTGCACCTTTGACTGAAGAGTCGTGGTAAAGTCCGTTCTAATTCTGTGTCAAGTCACAAAGCTGCAGGATTGGTTACAGAGATTTCAAAGCGCCTCGTTACTTTCCGGATAGACCTTGCATTTATTTATTGACTGCGTCTCTCTGGTCAAGAAGGTTCTTAAATTGATTAGGAGCCAGTGTAAAGAAGCAGTCTTATTTGACAGCAAAGAATACAATTAGAAATATTTATCTTCTTTTATCCTCAATGCCATATCTTGTCATCATTAATTTACATACATTTCAATTCTTTTAGGCTTTGATTTAATTTTTTTAAATAAATTATTTAATTTACTAACATTTTTATTTATCTCTTTACATTTTATTTAATTTTAATTAACTTTTAGTGTTTTAATCTTTTCTGATGACCTTCATTTTCATCATTTCTAATTTTCGAAATTGAGTTCTAATTGTGTGTATGTTTAGTTTTATCTATTTATTAAACTTTTAGGGGGGAGAAAGCGGTGGAAGGAATTAGTGTACGTTAATTTTCAATTCTCTTTCGTATAAACATTTTCTTTATTACAAAATTAAATTGTTCAGATAAACCTGAGAAGTTTAAAGGACAGCAAAAACTGCAGTTCGTTAAAGTTGGAGTTTTTGTAAAGGATAAAAATATAATTTGAGATCAAAGACTGTGTTAAGAAATTGTTAAAACTGTGTTATGAACTGTCTGTACGTAAGAATTACTGTCACAGTTATTCAATAGATTGGAAATAAAAAATATGAAGAAAGTTAAATATGACATCAATTCATAAATATACTAACAAGAGTTTCTACATGAGCAGACTGGAGAAAGATAAATTCCTTGCTTATGAACAATAATTTTAAATCACACAGTTTTTATTTTATAATAATTCAGTATAACACAACTCATTTGGACCTTTTTCTTTTCGGCAATTTCATCGTCATAGGCAGATTAAACTAAAAAAGAACTATAAATTAGATCAACTAATAAATTAGCATATACACTAAGTGAGAACTATAAATTAGCATTAAAAACCATTTTTCATAAAGTACTGGAGAAATAAATACATCCTGGGATCTACAGAAACCTAGAAGGTTCTGTTCATCTTTTTTTCATTTTTTATAGTATGAGAAATGAAAATAATACGGAAGACAACACAAGAGATAAATAATTTCTGTAAACATTTCCATGATGAATGAAATGTTATTAAATTATATGGATGACTGAATATATTTTAACAGCTGCAGAAAATGGTAAAACTATCTATGCCCAGCTCCTGATTTCTATATTCTATGTTTAAATAAAAGATGCTCAGTTGCAATTATACTATCCATCAACAAATATATTATAATATGAATTATATAACACTAAAATATGAATACACTTTGAAAAGTTCCTTTATAAATAATGTAAATTTAAATTATGTTATTTTATACATTAGTGATGTTAACTGATGACTCAGAATATATTCTCACAAAAAATAATTACTTGTACAGAAATAACGGGAAACTATACTATTAACAAACATTTAAGCACCAGTGCTTTTTGTTGGATATTTTTGTTACAAAATTCAAAATTGTAGTATAAAAATATATATCATATAGGTTTAAGCAGTCCTTATGTGCAAAAACAAAAGGCAATTTTTCTTTTTTCATTCAATATCGATTTCATTTTTGTTTAGTAGGCAAAGTTTGTAAAATTATATTTGGAAATTTCGCGCAAAACTTGTACTTCATACAAAATCAAAGCACAATTAGTCCATCTGAAAAAGAAACCCAGAAATCTGAAGACAATACCTCCATGTACACCAAGACAAAATATTGAATGTCTGTAGCAACAGAGTTTCCTGCCATGTCCAAAGATTAGAATATGTGCCTAACAATGTCATTCAAGTTCTTCTGGTTTAATTTTATGAGAAGAAAAATGGCCCAAACTCCCTTTCTAACTGATCATTAGGTTTCTAAACCTAATTGTTTCGTTGTTAAATAAAGTCAGCCATTTCCATGAACACCAAATTTGAATGCAAACCAAACTCCAGCCTCATTAATTTGGTATTATTTACCAATTTTTTTTTTTTTAAATTATGCAGTCAGCAGCCATTTTTCTCTTTGGTAAGGAGAGATGCTGTCCCAGTTCATTATCTATGTAGTGTTAATAAAGTTCTCATGTCATAAGTTATGCCAGTGGTATTTTGATGTATCGTCAACCATGATCTTCCATAGCAGCTTGGGTGGTCTGGGATCTCGTCCTGCCACTGGTTCCCCCACCACTTGCCAAATGAGTCGAGCCAACCTCTGGGTAGTAGGCTCCACCTTGCAGTCTCCATGTATTAAAGGCAGAAATTTTGGCTCATTGTTGAGAATTGGAGTGGCGTGGTTGCAGAAGCTCATCCTGCAAAATTCAAATTAAGCATGAAAATCATTCTTTATACTAATACTAAAAATGTACTTAATGAATATAAAAAGTTTGTTTTGTTTTTGATCTTAAGACTTGGGGGGGGGGAATAAGGTGTTTTAAATTCAATCGATTTTATTTGTATAAAAAATCATGCATATTGGTTATTTTGTTATACGAAAAGGAAAAAAAAATGAATAGTATAACCACTACACAGAACATGCATTTAGAGAGCTGGGAGGGTAGAAATAAACACATTGATAATCATCTACAGCAAAATATAAAGCTTTCTGTCTTAGAAATTTGGTTTCGTGGCATATGAGGACTATTTGGATATTGTAAAGCATATATAAACACTTTTTAAGGGGGCTTTTGTTTATATTATGCATAGGAAAGAATAATACAGCTAGCATGTTTGGACACTAGAAACTTACAGATGTCACATAGTCATGTCAAATTATTATTTGATCCATTATTTTAAATTATCCGAAACCATAATCGAGAGTGTTTAGGTGAAGTCTAATATTAATTGTACAGATTATCAAAACTGTTCAAAGCAGTCTGGGATTAGCTTGATTATCAGCAATTATATTTATACATGTACGTGAAAACCTATCTTTCATATAAAGCAATTCATAACGTTTAGTGAAAAAATTGTATTTAATAATACGAGCAAAAGAAAAGTATTTAATTCAAACTTGTCACTTAGATTACAATTCAACGCTAGTTAAAAGCAAAAAATAAAACTAGATTTCAACATAAAAGTTTATTATTGAATTATGCAATAAAGGCACAAAAACTTCATTAGTTAAAATTTTGAGAAAATAGAGATCTATGCAAAGTATTTCTAATGTTCTAAATTGAGCACAACTTGAAAGTGTAATTGTTAGTGCCACCAGGCAGTAGTTACATCTGTAACCATTCTTAACCTAACATTAAGGCATAATATTATCTCAGTAAATAATTTTGAAATTTTTTGTTAAAATTCAGTTAAAGTGATAATCTGAAAACTGACAAAAACATATTCTGTTAGTTTCAGTAAACATAGTCTACAGTTTTAGTAAATATATTCTATTAGTTCTATTTTAGATACATATTCTTTAGTTTAAATTCTTAGAAAAATGTCGCAGACTTGCTTATGCAGATATAGCAACGCCACCTATCTGCATAGGTCATATCTGCCAAGGCAACAGATAAAGTGATAGACATTTGTGGAATCTTTTCTAAAAATGATAAATTATCATGATTTAAGCGATTTTGAAAATGACTTTATCAGGCATTTCTCCCGCCTTCTTGGCATGCCTTTGTGGAGTGGTGGTCTGCACGCTGGGTGCGTATTCCAGAGGTCCGCGGTTCGATTCCCGGCAAAGGCGTTGCTAATTTTTCATCTTGTCTGCTTCCGAAAACATCTAATGTCTCTACAACTTAACTACTGGAATTTGTGAGATGTATTCTCTCTCATTTCGGAGCTAGAAGACGCAGTTTGAAATATCATACATGACCATTTCAAGGTTTACAAGAATTTGAAATCTCAAACCTTAACTACGGTGTGGCCGTTAACAGACTAACGGAGGTTGAATCTCTCATCTCATGCGACAGTTGCGCAAAAGTGCCTGCCTCATGTAATAGTACCAAAATTCAATACTAAGCCTCAACAAGCATCAGTATGAAGACTACGCAATTCTCCCGCCATAAAATGCGAATTAGAAATCAGTGTCCAACTTGAAGCAAAAATATTTTGCAGCAGAATGTTTTAGCTCTTTGAAAAAGCCATCTTTTAGATCTTTGAAGAAGATCTGCGCCGAATGCTCTAAAACGTATGCAGCATTCCTTTCAAATTAACACAAGTTTGAGGTTGAATTTTTATTAATTCAAAAGCTCAGATTAACTGCTTTGCTGCTCTTAAATCTACATACTTTGCTTTTCATCAAAAATACTGAAATCGGCACTGATTACAATCAGTAGGTTACTGGTAAAATATATGTAACCTTTAATGACACATGCTTTCAAAGTTTACAGAAAAATTACATAATTGCTTTAAGGAATCTTACAAGCAAAATATCTGCAAACTTTACGGATTGTTACTTGACATATTAAAGACATGTTCAGCTTGCATAAAAAATTGTAGTAACTTCGCGAGTAAAATATATGTTATCCTTGGAGATTTTCGCTGGTATTCTCCATGCAAAATCTGTGATGTGGATACCACATGGCTTCCTTGTACGGCCTATTAAATTATACACATTTTTTGCTGCACTTCATTTAAACTCACTTTCTCGAATTTCCTTAGAGACAAATTTCTAATTGAATCAATTACTTCGCGGCAAGGCAAAAATGCATAAAAACTCAATCTTTATATTAAAAATAGTAAAATACGGAAAAACATCAAACACCAAATGCAGTTAAAAACACAATTTTTACATTTAAAATTAGAGTTTGTACGAAAAAACAAGTAATTCGGCCAGAGGTCAGGAAAACAAAATTTTTTTTTGTGCGTAAAAGTGTATGTAGTGTTTGTCTAGTGTGAACAAAGAGTTAACTTTGGTCACACTAGACAAAACAGAAACTGAATTTGATGCATCAACTGAATTCACTGTTTTACTAAGAGTTTCAAACGTAAACAAATCAAGGCCTCGTTAGGCTTTGCACCACTTAAATTTTTAAATTGTTGATAATTCTACAACTGTTGCATGCATATCAACATAAGGCATAAAAACCTTAATTGCAACATAAGAAGACCAGAAATAAAAGAGTGGCAATATATCAAGTTTAATTCCTTGAATATAAATGTTAATTTAATATAAATTGTTAATTACTCAAGTATTTTATCAATTTTACTACATAAACTGCTTTTCACTCAAAATTGTATTAGCGAAAATGCTTAATAAGAATGAGTTCTTTTGTACTCTACTTTGGTTCTAAATACCTTTACTTCACGGAAATATTTGGCCGTGACTTAATTTCCAGTTTGGCATCACCATTATTACTTGAGTAAAAGACGAAACACCTTCGTATTTATTTATTAATTATTGTTCATTGAACGGGAGTTGGTTTGCTCCCCTTGAAAAGTCAACTAATTTCTGATCATTAGCAATAATTGCTTGCTTTTAATTTTAATTTCTTTTTCCAATTGAAATTTTGTTATTCATGATTTACTTTAAATCCCCGTAAAACATTTTTAACAATTTACATTCAAGTTACTTTAAAACAATTTTCGGAATTAAACTTCCTACCACTCTTTTTAGATACTTCTATTAAAATTAATATTAGGAGATAATATAATCAATATTTCTTAAATAAATAAATTATTATTATCTTACTTTGCAGCTATTGCGCAAGTATTAGAATAACTTGTTTTCGAACTTGGAGAATTTAAGATCATACAACATTTTATATATATATATGTGTGTGTGTATATATATATTTGAAAAGCTGGTAAGTACTGTGCTGTAAGACCTTAAAAATTTTTGCTGCAATTAAATATGCTGCAAAAATTATGAAAAAATAAGAAGAAAAATTGTAGTGAGCTCGCCAAAAAGTTATGAGCTGTGGCTCCAAGAAATAGTTCAACGCAGTATTTAAAAAAAAAAAAAAAAAAAAAAAAAAAAAAAAAAAAAACAATGGCAATGAAGGGTGAAAATTTAGGCTACACGCGAAATGAAATGTAGAATATAAAAAACAGTTAAAATCAATCGTTGGAAACATGTGAATGGCAAAAAATACAGTAAAAACCTATCGATGTGATAAGTGAAAAGTTAACACATATAAAAACCGATCGACGACACAAGTTAAAACAAAATTAAAACATATGAAAAACATAAAACTACAAAAATTATAAAAATTACAAAGCGGAAAATGGTAAATTAGCCTAATTCGACCTCCAACCTGGCTTTTCAAGGGAAATTTCAGTTAGACGTCGAACCAAGCTAACTCCATTACGCGTTTTGCCGAAACAGACAATTGAAGCTCTTGTGTGACGAAAAATTTTTTAAATAATATGAATTGTCCCAAAAAATCTTTTGGAGCTTCAATTCTCTGTTCCAATTTCCCGACGCGTCCGCAAAAAATGACACATTAAAGTGTAAAAAATGTAAATGCAACTCCGATGTACAGCTAAATTAAAAATAAATAAATAAATAAATAAATAGCGGTCTGCTATTAGTCAAACTATACAATAATGTACGGGCTGGACCTGCAAGCTTAAAGAATTAAACCTTTATGAATTTTATAGATCTGAAATTGAATTCAAATGAAAACAAAAGCCGTGGGTCTTGCTAAGGCATATATTATAATATAAACGTACACTGCTCGACATTGAAAATGCAACATCAAGAAGACGTGGTCAGAAAATTATGCAAATTTTAGAGTAGACGCACGTCACTGAGTTATGCGAATGATGTGAAATGCGCATTCTCCAACGTACGTGGAGTAAGATATAAGGGAAGAAACGTGCAGAATGGGCAATATTCGTGTCGTTTTTTCTGCCAGACGAATTATCGAAGAAAGTTCGTTTTTGTCTCGGAGGATACGTGTAATGGGAGAGAATGTCAGGCCGCCGTCAACGAAGGCACTTCAAGCCCAGATAGAAGATTTTACGAGGGGTATGGTCATTGGACTGAGAAGGGCGGGTGGGTCCTTACGTCAAATTGCAGCTGATACCCACATGGATGGGAGTACGGTGCATCGGCTATGACGAACATGTTTGGAACAAGGAAATGTGGGAAGAAGGAGCGTTGCAGGTGCAGCCAGAATGACGTCAGCACGCGTGGATCGACGCATCCGCACAAGCTGTGGCGGTCCCGCAAGTCACTTGTATCGCGATTCTGCAGCATGTGCAAGATACCCTGGATATTCCCGTGCCGACCAGAACCATTTCCCGTCGATTGGTTGAACGTGACCTGCACTCACGGCGTCCGTTAAGAAGACTGCCATTGACCCCACAGCATAGACGCCTACATTTAGAATGGTGCCGGTCTGGAGCAATGTGGATGACAGAGTGGCGAAACGTCGTGTTCTCAGCTGAGTCACGCTTCTGTTTATCCAGTGAAGGTCGCCCCATACGTGTGTGGCGTCAACGTGGAGACAGATCTAATCAGGCAGTAACTGTGGAACACCCCATCGCGCGACAACGTGGCATAATGGTTTGGGGCGCTATTGCCTACGATTCCAGGTCACCTCTAGTTCGTATTCAGGGCACTATGACGGCCCAACGATACTTGGATAATGTACTGCGGCCGGTGGCAATCCCCTACCTTCAGGGGCTGCCTAATGCAATTTTTCAGCAGGATAACGCCCGACCACACAGTGCTCTGAAGGCATACAGATGCTTCCCGGGCCACCGTACTCTCCCACTACCTCCTACATACAGGAGTACTATGTTGGAGTACTACATATTATGTAGGAGGTACTGACTCTCCTGACCTGTCATCAATCTAACATGTGTGGGATGTGATTGGACGCCGTTTGCAGACTCTGCCCCTGCCTCGTTCAGAAGACGAACTGTGGCAAATGGTTGAAAGGGAATGGAGAGCCACCTTCAGGACCCCATCCGCAGTCTTATTGACTCTATGCCTAGAAGTGTTTCTTCGTGCATCGCTGTCCGCGGTGGTCCTACATCATACGGAGCCAACGCCGTTCTCGCCTCTGTATTCTGACTATCATTTTGAAATAAAGATCACTTATTGCTGCTTGCTGTCTCTGACTTTTTTCCAAATTTCATCACTTTCTGACCACTCCTTCTTGGTGTTGCATTTTCAATGTCGAGCAGTGTATATATATATATGTAAATACTTTTGGCGTGGCAGATTACAACGAAAAGGGAAGGTGCATAACTGCAAGTCGTAGCAGTCTCATATACAAAATTTCACCGCTTAACGTCTACTCGTTTTTGAGTTATGCGAGATACATACGTCTGTACAGACGACATGAAAAAAGTCTCTTCTGAATCCGCTTTACAATCCGTTTTGGAAAAATGAGTCCTTTATTTTCTCCGTACGTACAGGTGTCACGCAGAAACATCGTTCAAATGGATTTACGTGTGGTCAAAACGGATCAACTATGATTTGTTGAAATATGATATCTGAAATTGTTCGCCATTACAATACTTCCTTCGCACATTTAAGTAAAAATATGTTTTGCACACATAATTATTACAAGGAAGACATCTCTAATTCTTACTAAACACTCCTTGTGTGATGACGTTATGGTCAATTCAAATAGTCCATAACATTCCATTTTAAATAAAAACGTTGTTCACAGGCTCTTTCCTAATCATAACTATGAACCAAAAAATTTAAATGCTAAATTATTAAAAATATTACTTATAACAGATACATAATAAATTATTACATATCCATAAGCTTATGTTTTAAATTTTTGAGCGAGATGAAATATGAATGAAAGGATGTATGCCTTGATATGGGGATGTTACGTTGAAAAACCGAAATCTGGAGAATGTCGACTGTCACCGGTGAATGTCGACATTCACATAGTCGCTTGGTGTATATCCGAAATATTTTCCAAGTACTCTTATTTATGACTTACACCGGTAAATGTCGACATTCACCATGTACTAATGGTGAATGTTGAACATATAAAGAATATTATATTTTCTTCTCCGTAATTCAGTCGCGAAAAAATGCACTTCCGACTTAAAATAAGAACTTAAAACACACAGTACATTCAAAATGAGAAAGGAAAATAGTAGAAGTTAAAAACTTACTTAATTACACAGTGCGTTCTAAATGGGAAAATAAAATAATAGTAATAAAAGCTTATTAAATTATGTGATCAAATCTTATTTATTGCAACAAGTATTATGACACTCTGAATTGCACAAGAGGCCCTTGCTTTTACAACTGCATTTATTTGTGGATCGCTTCCTTTTGCAATGACAGCGTGTATAGCCTTGCCCAACACTTCTCGAATTAGCTGCAGCTGCTTCTCTCGACGACATTTCTTGAAAATAAATCTCATCTATGGAAAGTAACTTTTCTTTACAAATTACGAACTGATTACGTGTGTGAAGCTGCTTGAGGATACCATTTTCGTTTGCAAGTTTATAGAAGTCGGAGTCTTCTATTCCAACAACAACGGCTAACACATTTTGGTTATCTGTACTACCACGGTCGACATCAGAGACTTGTATTCGTACAGTATCACCAATTTGAGCAGGAGGAAATTGTTTTTGTGAAGTTCGTAACATTTTTGTTGCTTGCAGTTGAAGATTTTCTTTCGCACCCGCTCTTTTTATAGAAATTAACTCGTGTTTTTCAGTCAGAACTTGATGTGAAGACGTGGTAGATTGCAAGTCCTCTTCAATATTTTTCTTTGGAATATGGTTTTCGATACGACCACCGCTCGAATTTTTTTCAGAAGTACTACCAGTTTCTTAAAGCTGTTCTTCGGTTTCAAAAGTATTGGCAATTTCTTCGAGTTGTTCTTCGGTTTCGATATTTGCGATATGTTCGCTAGGCAAAAAAAAGACGATGCTATGCCTCTTTTTGCTTTAACGCCAAACATGGCTTCATAAAGACTTCGTGGTATGTAGTGTTCTTGGCAAATTGAACAAAGAGTAAACCTTCAGTCCATTTATTTGTATCGTTATCGTTTATCCATGCAGTTTGAATATTCTGTATATCCTGATTGGCCCTTTCAACTGAGACTTGTGTTTGACTGTGACGAGGCTTTCCATGAACTATCTTAACATCTTTCCACATAGCGCATACTTCGGATATGACTTGATTGCTGAATTCTCTACCATTATCTGATTGCAATATTGCTGGAGCACCAAATGTTAAAATTATAGCAAGAATGTGATACGCTACTTCTTCAGCTCTTTTAGTTTTCAAAGATCGTATCTGGACAAACTTTGTTAAATAATCTTGATACACCATTATGAACTTATATTCGCCATCTCTGTTTGACTGCAGATCTATTAGATCAACTTGATATCTTGAGTTTAATTCAGAACTTATCATTGGTTTCACAACAGTACCTTTCTTAGGTGCACTGTGTTTCATTTGACACTGTTTCCATAAATTTAAATACAATATTACAACTTCATATGTAATATTTTTGTATTTAATTTGCAAGTCTTTAAGCATACGTGTTCTTTCCTTACATGGCCTATTCTAGTGTGAGTTTGATATAGTATACTGAACAATTCCTCAATTGGTAACATAATACTGTATATTCGTTTCTTCCTGGTTTTAATGGTACAACTAACTTCTCTTTATCATTAATTTTTTTTTTTTTTTTACGTCAAAACGTTTTTTAATGTCAAAACGTTTTAATCGTCTGTAATCCAAAGGTGTGTTGCACTTAGTTTCAGCAGAAACCACTTCAGAAAGTATTTTAGAGTACTTTTCTTGAGAAAAATAAAAACAATTGTCTTCTCGTTTACCCGCAATTAATGCATTTAACCTTTCAAGAAAAAGATCACGATTCATTGCAGTATCCATTCAGTATAAATTAGAGTATCGGAAAAAAATTAAGAAAACGTTGCTTGCACCATCAAACCTGGCATAAGACTGACAAAGCTCTGTGTGTGTGATTATGGCAAAGCCACGAGGGTTATCTACCTAAGGGGGAAACTGGCTCGTATACATGTTACACATGGAGAAAACCACGAAAACGCCCATACAGCCAGCCCGTTCGCGGGATTCGAACCTCGGACCGAAGTCACAGTGTTCAGCGAATTTACCGCTCGGCCGCTGGTGGGCGACTGACAAAGCTGACTGACTCCCACCAGAACAAAGGATTTGGTAGGAAACAGCCAGTCTACTCCTCTCTTTTCGACCTACACCAGAGCATATCTATGATTGTGGACATATACCGGTGAGGGTCCGACAGTGGCGTAGCTAGGGTGGGGCAAGAGGGGACATCTGTCCCCGGGCGCAGCATCCAAGGGGCGCCAAATTGATGCAACGAAATTTTTTAATGAAATGTTTTCCATTCTTGGCACACAGGAAGGGGCGCAAATTCTTCAATTGTCCCCGGGCGCTGGGAACTCTAGCTACGCTCCTGTGGTCCGAATGTACAAGAATGTAATGCAATATTCGATCTTTCGCCGACGTATTTGGTGAATGTTGAAATTCTCCGGTAATAGTCGACATTCTCCAATTTCGGTCTTTCACGGTAATAGGGATATATAATTTCCTTTCTATAAAATAAAACTTGTAATGTATTGAACATTATTTATTTACTGCCAGTCAAAATGTATCATACTTTGTCAGGTCACTCATAATTCTGTTAAAAGTTCATAAAAAGTTAAAAAAAAAAAAAAAAAACTGAAAACCGCGTCAAGAGATTAATCGTCCCTAATCTCTCAGCTCATAGGTATTCAACCCACAGAAATAACAATAAGTTCCAAATATGCAGAATTTCCTGACTGCAAATGATCAGAACTACGCCATTTAGTTCAGATATTTAATTTGATGTTATATTTAATAGTTTACTTCAATGCATTTAATTGTGTAAGTACTAAAGATCTTTAATACGAATTAAAGGTGATGTGAGAAGTCTTTGATCAAATTACATTATTATTTCAATGCACTTACATTTGTCCATGACTGTCATGGATCTGTATTTTGTCAATATCCCATCGGTCCAATCCTGTGTATATCCATCCTCTATACTTCGTATATTTGAGAATTACAGCTGAAATGTTTCTCACATTCGGGTCAGCTACAATAAGTCCTTGTAAATCTTGCTTGTCAGCGATCTCCTGGCTTTCACTTTAGAGGGAAAGAAAATATAAAGATAAAATTAATGTTTTCGTAAATTCCGAATAAAAAAATTAACGTTTAAATATATATATTACTGCAAAAATCTGAAGCTAAGTATACAGTTTTGCGATATATCCCAGCATTTAAAAGCCAAAATACTTTAGTAAAATATCTAGATTTTTTCAGCTTTGGCAAAAAAATAGTGGTAACTGCCAGGCCAGCCATTTAGTCCTAGTGAAAATAAACAGACGTTTTGTTTACGTACAATAATTTTATCAATATAAACTCGGTTCCTCTAATAAGTGAGTTCTGGCTATTCACCAGAAGGGTTGATGAGAGTAAGATAATCGGTAAGATAATGCGAGATTGCCTTCTCGCTCTATGTTATTCGCTCTCAACTAGCTGTTGGTTCAGTTCTAAAGCTTAATTTGTGCATAAGTGAAGAAAGTCCAAAAAATTAACCCAGACTTAGGAAAAGCATAAAACATATCTGCTTAAAGCATTTGTTAATCTTTCATCAATACATTGCCGCGAAATGCCCAGCTGCGGTGAGATAGCTTCCCGTAAAACGGCTTTAGGGTTACCAAAAATTGGCAAAAAAAGGGGGCAGGGTTGCCAGTTTTGGCGCGAAATCGCCCATTTGGCGATATTTGGCGACAAAATTGGCGTTATGCCATGAATAGAGCAAGAACATTCTAGTATGCATTCTTAGCGGTTTTCTCGAGTATATTCTCGAAAGTAGGTTAAAGCTATATATATCCTGCCTGTACGCGGAGAGAGTAGTAGTAGTATAGTGTAGTAGAGTGTCTCGAGTTCAGAGATTAACTTGAGAGCAATCGACCGAGCCGGGAGCTGTACTTTAGTGTTTTGCCGTGAAGCTTTCTTCACCGTCATAGCCTGAAGACTGTGTTGCTGATTGTTTCAGTGTGTTTATCGAACTTTTTAAATGTCTGTTAGTGTGTTTTTTGAAACTGTCCTGAGCGAAATGGCGAATAAAATGTGTTACGATTCTTCATCTAGTGTTGTCATCAATCACTTCAAATCCAGACTTAGCCCAGACTTAGGAAAAGCATAAAACATATCTGCTTAAAGCATTTGTTAATCTTTCATTGAACCCGTAGAACGCAATAGTATTGACCTTATTTAAACAGGTCTTACAGTCCAGTTGGGTTTAAATAAGCAATAAATACTGTTTAAAATAATCAAAGATAGCATAGTTGTTTTAAACATCTGTAGTAAAAGAATGAATTACATGATACACACAGTCTTTTCATCTTTTATAAATAATGCAAAAGAATACTATATTCTCATGAACCGACTCACACTTGACGTTCTTTTTATTTGCCTTTTCTTAAAAACCTCATCTATTCTTTATCCACATCACTCATTCTTGGTAGACTAAAAGCACGGTTAGCCGATAGTGGTTCAAGACTTCAAGTCTTTATTTGTACTACATACAAAGTACACAGTATATACTACTATACAAAGTAAAATAGCATAAATTAACGAATACTTTAAATAAAGCATAAATTAAATGCATAGATTAAGGTAAAAATAGTTTTAAATGAATAAAGGTTAATTAGAAGAAACAGTTATTATTGATAATACGATAACGGATAGAAAATAATGTAAATGTTATTATATTTTTCGTCACAACTGTCAAGAATACTGCTGCATTATTTTGAAATTTTTCCAAATAAAGTGTTTTGGCCTCCTCGGTGATTGCGGTGATTTGTGCCCAGAGGGCGCACCGCACAAAAAGTTAGTTGCGTTACAGAACGTAAGCGAAGCGGACACGCCAAAATGTCGGGCGTAGTACCGCTAATTGAGGTAATTGCATCGTATCTGTCAGGTGGCTGAAAACTAATATGATGTATCAATTCACATGCCAGGTGGCAGAATATGTCTATCATGTACATGCCAGGAGGCATAACGCTTGTAAACATGCCAGGTGGCATACGACTTGTAAATAAATTGTAAATAAATGTACAGTAAAATATCTTGGTGCAATAGATCAAGGAACAAGCATCAACAACCTTCTGATCATTTGGATACGTACATTTTTTTCTGGTGACACCGGACTTGATTTGTGGAGATGAAGAATGGACGAAGAAAATTAGTGAGTTCATGACTGAAAAGCCAGGATTTAACGCGAAGAAATTCGAGGTAGGCCCTTTTTCATTTTTCCAGTTTTGAATAGAATTGTTGAATAAAAATCTTGGTGATTATTATAGTTGATAGAATTTAATGGTAAAATGGAGGCTATGAATAAGGCAAAGAAGTTGCGTACGGTGACGCGTAACTTAACTACTAAGTTGATGAGTAAAATAGATTCTGCATTGTTAGAAGAGGGTGAAACCGCGGATGAGAAATTAAAAGAATTACTCGAAATGTTACTTGAAAAATCGCAGTTGTTGAAACAATACGATTCTGAGATTGAAAAACTTATAATTACGGAACAGGAGTTGGAAACAGAAGTAATTTCCGCGCAGGAATATCAGGAAAGAATTATAAGTTTTAAATGTAAAATTCAGGAAAAATTAAGAAAAAACGCGTGTAAAGTTGAATCTAGAAATTCTAGTGAGGAAACTATATCTCCGAAGTTGAAAACTTGTGAAGTTAATACTTTAAAATTGCCAAAATTAACGATTACAAAATATTACGGTGATCCTTGTTCTTGGCTTGAATTCTGGAATCAGTTTAGTAATTCCATTCACCAAAACGAAAGTCTCAGTTCGGTTGACAAGTTTTGTTATTTAAAATCGCTTTTGGGAGGTTTAGCTTTAAATGCTATTAGTGGATTAACATTTACTAGTGAAAACTATACGGTGGCTGTTGATATACTAAAAAACCGTTTCGGCAGAGATGACCTGCTAATTAATGCGCATATGAATAAATTGTTGAGTTTAGAACCTGTAAAATATTCCGGAAATACGGCTTCTTTGAGGAAGCTTTATGACGATATAGAAATACAAATAAGGAATTTAAATTCTTTAAATGTTACTAGTGGTTCTTATGGACATTTATTATCCCCTATTTTGTTAAAGTTAATACCCGAGAATTTAACTCTAGAATTCACTAGGAAAAGAAGTGATAAACAAAATTTCGATGTTAATGAACTACTAACGTTCTTGAAAACGGAAGTGGAATGTAGGGAAACATCAATGATGTTAGCGCGTTCTAAGAATTTTGATGTAAATGAAACATCAATACGAAACAAAAGTTCCCATCAAGGTTATCAAAGTTCTCATAAATCTTACATTGCATTCTAAAGAAATGATTACAGTACGAAATAAGCAAGGTGCTTCAGTATTAACTAGTCAAAGCGAAACTCCCTCTAAATACTTTCAAAAATCGCATTTTAATCAAAATCGAAAGTTCTCTACCCCGCCTAAGAAAGAGAATCAAAATGTCTGCATATTTTGTTTATCTGCTTGTCATATGAATCATGATTGCGCACTTGATTTAAAGGCTCGCCGAAAGGCATTAATGGATCGAGGTTTATGTTTTATTTGCTTTTCGAAAGGGCATCCAAGGCGTTTCTGTGCTCATAAAGATGAAAAGTGCAGACTGTGCAATGTCCAAGGTTTACATAATTCGTTAATATGTGACGCCGCATCGAAAGATTTAGAGACGGATACTTCCAATCAGACAAAACAAACGCCAATCCCTGAAGCTTCTCTTTCGCTCTTATGTAATGAAAATAATAACAAAATTAAACCTCCGACTTCCGTTCTTTTACAGACGTTTTCGGCGACAGTGAGGTGTAAAGGGGGGAACAAAAAGGTATTACGGTGTATGCTAGATTCAGGGTCAACAAAGTCATTCATCTTACGAGAAGTGATTGATTCACTGGGGTTGAAAATTATTAATAAAGAAGCGCTTATTATTTTCACATTTGGATGCAAAGATGCAAAAGAGCGCTTGTATGATATCGTAGAAATCGTATTGCAAAATGTAAGCCATCCCAGTAAAAAGATAAAAATTAACGCAATAGTCATTGATTCTATAACACTAGGGCAAGTAAAAGTTCCTTCTCGGTGGATACGAAAGATGGCGTTTGAGAAGGGAATAGAATTAGCAGATGCTGGTACGAGTGACGAAATTCAAGTATTAATAGGTTCGGATTATATTTGGGAAATTTTAGGAGAACGAAACGTGAAGATTTGTAAAAAATTAGTCGCAACAGAAAGCACTTTCGGTTTTGTGATTCAAGGCAAGGACGAAGGATCAAAGTGTAAGGACGCAAGAGTTAATCATATAACCGTTGTAAATGAGGACTTAGATTATGAAAGAGTTAAAAAATTATGGGAATTAGAAGCAATTGGGATAAGTTCGGATAAAGAAATATCTCTATCAGATAAAGAAATTTTAGAGTCATTTGAACGAAATACAAACTTACAAGAATAAAAGGTATGAAACTCGATTATTGTGGAAAGAGGGTGTTGAAGGTTTAAATAACAATTATGAAATCGCGAAACAGCGTTTACAATTTTTAAATAATAAGTTTCAGAAAAATAGCGAGCTATATTTAAAATATAATGAGATAATTAATGAACACTTGAGAGATGGTATAGTGGAACGGGTAGATACGTATTTAAATAGTAGTTTGAAAACGGGGTATTACATGCCTCATCACGCGGTAGTGCGCGAGCAGAAGGATTCTACAAAGGTTCGAATAGTTTTTGACGCTTCTTCTAAAAGTAAGGGAAATTTATCACTTAATGATTGTTTGGAAAGCGGACCTAATTTAAATCCTGATTTGCTAAAGATTATCATTAAATTCAGGGTACATTCAATTGCGTTTTGTGCCGACATTCAGCGTGCATTTTTAGAGGTAGGCTTAGCTAAAGAAGATAGGGATTTTTTAAAGTTTTTGTGGATAAATGAAGAAGGGTCAAATCTCGATCACAGTAATTCCAACTTACAAGTTCCTTCAAACACAATCGAGTTCCTTTCGGGGTCAAGTGCTCACCTTATTTATTAACAGCTACAGTAAGACTGCATTTAAAAAAGTATGAAGATGCCTACGAAGAGGCATGCAGTATGTTAAAAGAGCTTTACGTAGATGATTTAATTTCTGGGACAGTTAATGTAGCAAAGGCCTTACATTTAAGCAAGGACATGATTTTCATTCTTAGCGAGGCCAGTATGAATTTACGTAGATGGGTTTCAAACTCACCTGAGCTGAATGAACTATGGAAACTTAATGGAATTGACTCTCGTGAAACATCTGAAGACTCTTTGGTACCGTTGAAAGTTTTAGGTCTTATCTGGGACAATGTCAATGATAATTTGAAAATAGATGTATCTCAGTTTGAGAAGTTACAAAATCTCAAAGTAACTAAACGCATCATTTTAGCAGCATGTGGTATGCTCTTTGATCCCTTAGGAATTATGAATCCATTTACTGTTCGAATTAAACTCTTAATGCAAACTATGTGGGAAAAGGGTATTCAATGGGACGAAAGGATGTTCCCCTTTGATACAGAATTCATATTTCAGGAATGGTTAAAAGAAGTTGAAAAAAATAAAGTTTTTCGAAATTCCCAGACAGTACTTCAGTGATATGTGTTGGAAGTTTATAGAAGTTCACATATTTTCTGATGCCAGTCCCAAGTGTTATGGTGCCGTAGCATATTTTAGATTTAAGAAGAAAAATAAATGTAAAACAAGTTTCATAGTGTCGAAATCCCGTTTGGCTCCATTAAAAAGGGTAACACTCCCTAGGCTTGAACTTTTGGGAACATTAATTTCTGCAAGATTAGGTTCGTATTTGCAATCGATATTTCCGCAGTTGGATAAGGGAAATATATTTTACTGGACTGATTCCCAAATTTGCATTCACTGGATCAAGGGATCTGCCAACGAGTGGAAACAATTTGTTAGAAATCGTGTGGTAGAAATCAAGGAGAAAACAATTTTAAACAACTGGTACTTTTGCAGTGGGAAGACAAACCCTGCTGATAAACTTACGAGGGGGATGGATGCTGAAGCTCTAATTAATGATAGTGATTGGTTTTCTGGGCCACCCTGGCTTTCAGAAGTAGATATTCGACATCACATAAACGAAATGAATACCGAAGCTGACTTGCAAAACGTTAGTGAAGAACGAAAATGTGTTACTTTGAAAACACTTGTGGAATCTACAGAACCGTTACTAAATCTTGAACTGTACGGAAATTTAACCAAAGTACTGGGAATAATGGCTTATGTTCTGCGCTTCGTGAACAACTGTAAATCCGCTCGTGAAAAGCAATCTGGTATGCTTACCGCCTATGAGTTACGGAAGGCTTCAGAATTTCAAAGGTGGTTAGCAAATGAAAACATAAGGTGGATATTCAACCCGCCAGCTGCTCCACATCATGGTGGTATATGGGAGGCAGCTGTTAGATCTATGAAGCTGCATCTAAAGAAATGTGTTGGAACTCAAATTTTGACTTATGAAGAGTTTCTAACTCTAATTGCACAAATTGAAGCATGCTTAAATTCGAGGCCAATAACACCGGTCTCCAGTGATCCCAATGATTTGACAGCTTTGACTCCTGGACACTTTATTATAGGGACTTCTTTAACAGCTGTTCCGGAACAAGATTTAACCGAAGTACGAGTGTCTCCATTGCAAAGATGGCAACTAACACAGCAGATGTTCCAAGGGTTTTGGAAGCGGTGGTCTAAAGAGTACCTGTGCCAACTACAGCAGCGTAGCAAATGGAGACAGCCTAGCAGAAATATTCGTCTAAATGACTTGGTTCTCATTAAAGAAGATAATATGCCTTCATTACGTTGGAAACTCGGGCGAGTAATAGAAGTGTTTCCTGGAAGAGACAATAATGTCCGAGTGGTTAGACTAAAAACTGTGCACGGGGACATTAAACGTCCTATTACCAAACTGTGTCTTTTACCAGTTGAAGAACATTAACTTAAGTGTTTGGTTTATATTGAATATGTTTTATTATTATTTTCATTTCTTATTGTACTAATAATTTTATTTGTTTGTTCTAGTTTAACCCTCATAGTTAACGTTTCAATATAGTAAGATATAAGATGTTTTGCTAGAAGATTGGTAAGTGTAACATGTAATTTTATACTTTTTGAAGGTTTTTGTATGTTTTCAGTTTCTATATTTTTCATTTACTTGTTTGCATATATTGAAGATTGTATTAAGATGAATGTAATTCATCGGGGGGGGGGGAGGATGTTTTGGCCTCCTCGGTGATTGCGGTGATTTGTGCCCAGAGGGCGCACCGCACAAAAAGTTAGTTGCGTTACAGAACGTAAGGGAAGCGGACACGCCAAAATGTCGGGCGTATTACCGCTAATTGAGGTAATTGCATCGTATCTGTCAGGTGGCAGAAAACTAGTATGATGTATCAATTCACATGCCAGGTGGCAGAATATGTCTATCATGTACATGCCAGGAGGCATAACGCTTGTAAACATGCCAGGTGGCATACGACTTGTAAATAAATTGTAAATAAATGTACAGTAAAATATCTTGGTGCAATAGATCAAGGAACAAGCATCAACAACCTTCTGATCATTTGGATACGTACATAAAGTGTCTCAAAATGTTAACCTATGGCGATGTTAGGATATTGGCGGATTGTTTATTAAACCTTGCCTCTCCTATATAAAGTTTTTATTATCGATAGTATTATTGTTGAAGAATATTAATCTTTGTCCGAATTAGCATTACTCGGCACGTAACTCAGATATCACATGCACTGCTTCTCAAGTGAATTAAGGTGTTCTGAAAAAGCAGGTAAAAATTTACATTGAAAACAAATATGTGTTGAACACCAAAATAAACAACGAATTCAGAAAAATTTAATTTTTCGAGAGATCAGAATTTTTAGTATCAGTATTTTACAACCTCAACTTTTAATGATAATAAAAAGAAATTTTATAATATTCAGCGGAAGTTTAACAAAATTAAAAACTAACGAGGGCTACGACTCCTCAGTTTAAATGAAAATAGTTAAGAATCAACGATAGATGGCAGCACCACCACACATACTTGGGAACAAAACTTTCGTTTTTGTAATGCTTTCCATTCATTTTGTGAATGATCTACCATTGACTTTATTTTCAGTTTACAAAAGGAATAATTTTCTATAATCAGGACCAGGTCTAGGCATAAACAATATAGGTAAGACACCTACAGTGTTGAATTTCAGAAGGTAACTGTAATATTCGCCTAGGGCGAGAACAGTGCTGAAGCCGGATGTGTCTGTATAAAAAGATTTAATTCATCAACATTTTACCCGTTTTCCAATCAATATTCTTTCGGAAAGCATTACTGTATTTGATAAAAATTGTTTGCTAGTTGAATAAATGCTGAAATCATATTCCATACGTATTTTTCTTAGGAAGAAGTAGAGATACAAAAAGTGCTAGGAAAATACTTTGTTAACTGTAGCTTAATGTGAAAACTGTTATCACTGCATGTTAATTTCAACGCTGGCACACAACTAGGCGTAGTATGCGATATTTTATTTTTAATTGTGTAAAACTATTTCGGTACCATTAAAAGTAGAATCTAATTCACAAACTAGGCCAAATTTTATTATTTTATTAAGCATTTATATCATATTTAAAAAACTTATCAATAATAACGAAATATTTCCTAAATAGGTTATAAATGTAATTAACAGCAAGGCAGATTACAAAAAATTATAGTTTAAAGTTTTATGAAAAGATAAATAAGTAATTTAACAATAAAAGAGTGAAATGTACTTTTTTCTTGAAATATAGTATTTCTTCAATAAGAGGGGGGGGGGGATTGATTTAAGATTTTTAACAAACTTGTCCTTGAATACGAATGTCTAAAATAGAAGAAGCCGTTTCTTTTCCAGTAATCCAATAATGAATTAATATTTAGATAAATAGATACAGAGAAGTTCCTATATGCATAGTTTTATTAAAATAATAATAATAATAATAATAATAATAATATAGCTTATTTACTTGGTCAAAACAAACGTTTCGTTGCTGTTATCTTCTCCAAGGAATGAAATTTCTAATTTACCCCACGTCGTTCCTTGGCCCCTTGTACTGGAAATCGAAATGCGATATTGATTTGCTGAAAAACAAAATGACATTTTTGAGCAATTTTTGAATATTGAATATATTCAGTATATATAATTATTGAATATACTTAATCCAGTTTTTAATATAATTCAGCATTTCAGCGTATTTATCATGTGATGCACAATCATATTTAAGAAGGGGAAAAAAGTATAAAATGGTTCAGATTTTAACAGTGCTTTAAAAATCCTTTCTTTCGCTGCTCTTTAAAAATTTAATATTGTTTATGAGCAGAGATTATCAGTAGCGACAGCCCAGGTGGATAAGCGAAACATTTTATATGATGCTAGACGAATATATGTATATTCATAGTATAAATGTATACATTTAGACTAACATGAGAACACTGTATACCTTCTGTATATTTGAAAAGTGAAAAAACAATATGACGTAATTCTATAAAAATATTTAACGTTTTCAATTAGATATATCATGAGTTAAATGCATTTTTATTTAATCCTATCAGATTAAAAAGTAAAAATAATAATAATAAAAAAAACAAAATCTGAAATGTTTCAGATTTTAAATTACGTCCAAAGGGGCGTTTTTTAACATTTGTGTTACCTTTCTTTTTGAAATATCATGTTCCTCGCACTTAAAACCATAAGATCCAGTGCAACAGCAATATCGCAAAATAGTTTTAAAAGCATATCTTTATTGAATTTCCGATACCGAGACTCACGCGCTGGAGATAAAAAATGTTTTTTTCTGCACAACGTTGCCATTGCTCGCTTTGAAATCCTTGAGTTTGTTAATCAAAAATTCGTCAAAGTTTTAAAAAATAGAAAATCGATCATAAAACAATTTCAATTTCAAATTTGTCTTCCACATGCTCATATCCGTTGGAGGATTACGTTATTCAAAATTCGATGACTCTATGTAACCCGTTGTTTTATCACAATACGAGAAATATACATACATTTATGCAGATTTTCATTATTTAATTTCTTCAAATATAATGCAGGACTCTACATTTTGTGGCAACAGTTTTGAAAAGTGAACCGACCATTTATGAGTCCGACGCAAAATGCCAAAACGAAACTAATAGTCCTTCGGGATTCAAATCCCTTTGGACTAATAATAATCTTAAGAAATGCATCTGTTGCTTTGAAATAGCTTAGTTTTAATCAATAATAGACAGACTAAATTTGAAAGATTATATATTACATTTTACCGAATGGCAGCAGACTCGACTGAAACATGGAACTGTAGGGGACGACGCAAAATCGCATTTCGATACTAATAGCTCTTTTGGGTTAATACAGTACTAAGTCCGCAATCCGGACTCGTCGGGACTTCGGCGATTCCGGATTCGGGATTTTTACGGGTATTAGATCATCAATTTAAATCTGGTAAGATGGCATGCAGAAATTATACAACTAAAAATATGAAATCGTAATTTATGAAATAAAGAACAATCATGATCTAAAGAATATCACAATTTACAAAAAAAAAAAAAAAAAAAAAAAGAGTTTAATATTTATTTGGTTATTTTATTAAACATTTCTTTCAATGTAAGTTGTTTAAGTTGCTTCCACAAAAAATTCAAAAAGTTCCTTTTCCTTATGTCATATACAGTTGACTTTCCAATGCCCATACTCCTCGCAAAATTTTGAGACGGATTGCAGATCCTTTGACAGCTCCAGAATTGGAAACTCTTTTCGACATAATCGAAATTTCAAGCTTAGTTTTTATAAAATTGAGGTAATAATAACAGTCTTCAAAAAATAATAAGCTGGATCAAATCAGAAGATTAGAGCAGCGCCTCCCGCTACATTAACTGAAAGCCTTAGAAATTAGTAAAGATAATTTTAGTCTAGCTTAATAGCGTCCGTTATGCATTATTGGCTGTGTATCACAAGATTGGCGACGAAAGCCAAGTTGTTTCGCTAAATTTTGTCTTGCTCCTATTGCGTACTGAATTAAGCCTGAATTGTATTAGTAGTTTAGTTATTTACTATACCTACGTTTATTTCTTGCGCATGGTTAAAACTAATCTGAGTCCTGAATAAATAAACTCCAGGCTTTATCTAGGGCGGCGCTAGATACCGCGTGGCTCAGTCTCTACGGGTCCTAAATTCTGCTACAAAGCGCCTTCCTAAGTTCTAAATTTTCACGGCGGCCAAACTTTGGATCCAGTGCTTTCCCTAAATCATGAAAAACTTCTCATCCCTAAGGGGAGTTGGAACCCTAAAATCTTCAAAAAATTTTGATTTCGGATTTTCGCATTTTCAAATTCTCTACACGGTACTTTTCCATTTTGCCGGCGCAAACGATAAAGTCGCCAATAATGGTACAACTGATGCCAAACGCTGGTAACCTTTTACGCTTCATTTTTAAAACTAGTCGCAGCCATTTCTTATCAGATTGATTGTTTCTTTTCAAAACTGGCATACAATTACATAGAATTTTTACCTAGATAGTTAAATTTTATGCCCTAAGACCATTCGCGGTAATTAAGTGAATTAGGATGCAATCATACCACTCACCCGAAGGCGAAAATATAGAAATACAAAATCAAGTGTTAAATTCATCAATTCTAATAAGAATGCATTAGCGAAGTAAAGCAATGTGGTTTTACATAATTTCTGAGTAAGCTATTCGTACGAATTGAAATAATTCTTGCATTTAAACGTGTACTCGAAATTAAGATTTAAATTGAAATTAATGTAGATAATTACTGAGAGAATTAGTTTTTTGTAGCGTAGTTTACGTGAGATGAAATCTCTTCGGGTCACGGGATACGAACCGGCGAATTAGAATGTTGAACCATGAAAGAATAGTAAATTTTAAAGTAATGTCTTTTTACAAATTTATTGTCTTTATTTACTGGCTTTTTACAAAATTTTAAACCATATTAAAATGTTTATGCCTTCAAAATAAAAAATTCTTTGAACTAACATTTGTTAACATTTTTTATGTGTATACTGTATGCTGTCCCCAAAAAAGTCTGCTTGGCGAGATTTGCGCCGGCGAAACGGAAAAGTACGCTTTACACTTTTATCTTTCTAAAAATACCATTCTTTAATCTCTATGAAAATTAGAACTGTAAAAAAATCTAGTTTTAATTTGTCATCTACTGCTTTGACCAATGAAGATTTTTACATAAAAACGCGTTTTTCTCGAAACGTGATTTTTTTACACTCGATGTACATTTTCTCAGGAACTACTGCTCATAGGTATATAAACTTTTTATGGCTTATTTATTAGTTTCCCTAATATTTACTGAAATGAGCTTTTCGTAATAAACTTAGAAAAATTTTTTAAATTTTTTTGTGTGAGAAAAGTGCTAAATTTTACTATGCCTAACAAAATATCCTGTAATTTACTCTAAAATTCAAAATGTTTCAAAAGCTCATTTCAGTCTAATCGACGAATAGGTATACTTTACTTACAGAAAAAATTTCAAGCTTGTATCTACAGCAGATTTCGAGAAAAGGTACATCGAAAATGGCCAATTTAACATTGTCGGTATAGGGGTTTCTGATACCCCTTTTAAGTTTTGCCGCTCGGTGCTTCCCCAAATTCCAAAAATTTCGTCTTCCCTAAATTCTGCCGTTCGGTGCAGACATATTCTAGGTTTATGGTGAATAACATATCAGAAATTCTTAATTAAAATAGCACTAAATGTAATCTTTTGGCCTATGAGTTTCATTAATAAAATATGTTTTAACACATGAAAAGAAATTTTTGTTGAATTTTTCCTCGTCAACATTTCTTAGTCTTAGAGCATTTAAAAATCTATAATCATAGCCAAGCGTAATATTAGCATAAAAGGTTGCCATATTCTTGTTATTCAATTCCTAATATAAAATAAAGTTTAGACATCGCTGCATGAGTTATTACTGAAGCTGTCATGTCATGTACTGATAAACATGCGGTGATGAAAGCAAAATATAATAAATACTGACTCGCTAGGTCGGCGTCAGATATATAAAATAGGTGAATGTTTGGGTTTGAGATTAATGCCAAGCAGACACTCAGCTACGGAGCCAAATTATTAATCTCATAAATTTAAGCTTACATGATTGTTTTTCCATAACTAGGTATTTTATTTAATGCGTAAGTGAAATTAAGAATCGGAATTTTCAAGTGAAAATCTCTACATGTTTTATTATGGAAGGAAAAATCAAATGCGCATGCGTAAAGCATACAAAAAAAATGTTTGCGGCTTTGAGGTCTGGATTTTAGATCATTCCGGATAATGGACGTCCGGATTTCGGACTTTTTACTGTAATTTTAATTAATTTTGATACATAAAAGGAATGATTTCGCCCAACGCTGGAGAATTTACAGATAAGGATCTTTCCAAGGGATGGAAAAAGCTAGTACATTAGCTGTTTGCGTATACGTACTCAACATCAGTTCAGGGATAAAAAGACGTTTTTATTACAGGATACATGATAAGAAGTGTAACTGAGATTTGCAAGTTCATTTTATTTAACTGACATGCATGATATGAAATGTTTTTATCATGCAAATTTTAGAAAGCTTATTCTATTCCTTTCAAATAAAATATGAAGTAGAATAAGAAGAACTTTTCAATTTTCTTTCAGAATGTCCCTTATATTATTTCTGTCAAACAGAGTATGAAAGTAAAGTAAGAAGATTTTTTTTCAATTTGCTTTCAAAATTCCCCTCATTCTATTTCTTTGAAACTACTGCTAGTTATCTGCGACAATCTCACAGTGTTTATTGATTAAAATTTTAAATTAATGTTTGCTTACCACAGAACGGCTCCGTTTCTCTTGTGACCAAATAGAATTTTCCACGAGCATGCTGAGACCTGTCAGCGTAATAGCCCATATTTACGCACCCTTGGGCGCTGCATTTAAAACACTTTCCAGATAAGAAGTTCTCGTAGCTGTCACATGGGAAGGCGGGAAATTTACAAGTGGGTACAATAGAGTCGATGAAAAACCTAAAAGCTCGACGGTGGTTACACAGACTCTGCCATTTTCCATCTGTATAAATACACAGAAAACAAAATATAAGATAACAGAAAAAAATTTGAGGAATAAAAAAACATGTTATATCTAAAATAAAAATGCTAAGGTTGCCAGAATGACTCCTTAAACTACCGATATTATAAACAGGCCTAGCATGCATATTTATCTTTGTTTACATACATATTTTTTATAATTACTACCACAACAAGAACCAGAAGATAAAAGTTATTTTGAAATGTTGGTGTTAGTGCTAAAGATACTGCTGCGTGCGTAGGGATTCATAATAGATTCATTTGATGATAGCTTGATAAAATTTATTTTATAAAGACATTAGGTATTTTTTGGAAGCAGGAGACCTGAAGAAATAAGCAACGCCTTCGCCGGGAGTCGAATAACGGACCTCTGGAATACGCGCCCAGCGTGCAGATCACAACACCACGAAGGCACGCTAAGAAGGCGGGAGAAATACCTTATAATTGTACTAAAAGGAACACTTTACAGTTCTATAACTTTCCACAAAAGTACTCGTACAGCTCTTCACTGTATCACAGAGTACAATCAGTAATTACACTTCAAACTAATAAAAACGTTAAACACATCGCAGTGCAAAGCGCAGCTAAGAGCAAAGATGAAACGGCTACACACGCTGAACTAAACAACAACTACTCAAAAACTGATACTCTCCCCGGGCTTACTATGAGGTTGGATACGTGTTGGCAACCGCCGTCGATCCCCCTAGCGTATGCGCATGATAAGCAAGTTCTCTGCTGCGTAATACTTTTCTGTGCAGTTAGCCAAAGTCAATGGTGAGTATTGCATGTAAGCGAGAGGTGCTAAGCGCTGTGTAATATCATGTTTCTACGCTGCTGTTCAACGTCTTCATAGCATAAATAAATGTTTGTCATGTATATGGAAGATGTAATTTTATTCTTCATAGGTTATGGGCCCAGATAGCGCTTAACTGTGCAGTCAAACTACCATTGTTAAATTCTTTCGGCAAGCCAAACTGCGTCGACTGAAATGAAAATGGCGACGACTAATACAGTGTCAATTGAAAAGCTAAGCAAGGACAACTTTGACACGTGGAAGCCATACTGATTAAAAATGATCATTGGGACTATGTAACTGGGAAAAATTCCGAAACCAGAACCTGGTGATGAAGAATTTGCTAAATGGAAAACTACTGACCATAAAAAGCACGAGCGGATATAATCCTATCCATCTTACCCAGTGAACTTCCACAAGTAAAGAATTGTGTAACATCTCACGAACTGTGGAGTAAATTGCATTCTATTTACGAATCGAAGGGACCAGCTAGAAAGGCCACAATTCTAAAAAAATTGATTTTTACAAAAATGAGTGATTCTAAACAAAAAATGACTGATCATCTAAATGATTTTTTCATTCTTGTGGACAAACTGAAAGAAATGGAAATAAACATTGCGGATGATTTGCTTACAATATTGCTTTTATATAGCATACCGGACTCTTATGAAGCTTTCGAATAGCCAATCGAATCTCGTGATGAACTGCCTTCTCCAGAAATGCTGAAAATTAAACTGTTGGAAGAAGCTAACGCTCGCAAAAATAAAGATTCATCGTTTTCTGAACCACAACATGCGTTCTATTCAAAAAGATCGGGAAGTATACTCAACGACCGGTTCCTAAACCGAAACCAGATAAGTCTGCAAACCGAAGACAGTATCCAGTTAACTACAGATGCAAACTTCTGCCATATCTATGGGCATAGAGCATCGGAATGTAGGAAGAAAAGTAAAAGAAACTAAAAGCAAACGCCTCAGTGAAACTGCGATGTCTGCAGAAAATCAGAAGAATTCCTTGGAGCAAGAAAAAGCCGTAGCATGCACTAATAGTAATTCTAAAGACATTTTTTGTCTGGATAGTGGTGCAACATCGCATATGTGTAACAGCAAGGAACTGTTTCAAGAAATTCACGAGGTAGGTGATACTTATGTTAAAATTAGCTGCTGATAAAACTGTTAAAGCTATTGGAAAAGGAACTGTTAAATTTAAAGTTCGCATAGGTTCTAAAACTGAAAATATCAAACTCAAAAATGTATTGTGTGTACCTGATTTGAAAAATAATTTAATCTCAGTGTCTAAAGTAACTGAAAATAATCTTTCAGTAATTTTCAAAGAAAAATGTGCTCAAATAATTAATTCTAATAACGAAACAGTAATTTTAGCTAAACGCGAAAATGATCTTTATTTTGTCATGCCAATATTTGAATCTGTATCAATTGCTAAAGAAATAGATCAGTGGCATATAAGATTTGGCCATATGGAATGAAAATGATCTTAAAAAACTTCAAATAAATAACATGGTTAGAGGTCTTTCTTTTTCTCAAAATGACTCTCTTTCTACTTGTAAGGTATGCATTCAGGGTAAACAAACCGCAACTCCCCTTCCCAAAGAATCTGAATATAGAAGTACTGAATTGTTGAATCTAATTCATTCTGATTTGTGTGGTCCCATGAGAACCGAATCAATAGGTGGATCATTTTATTTCGCAACATTTATCGATGATAAATCTCGATATGTTCGTGTTTATTTTCTGAAATCTAAGGATGAGGTTAAAGAAGCTTTCAGAAATTTTAAAGCATCTTTTGAAAATAAACTTAACTCTAAAATCAGAATCCTGCGAACCGATAACGGGCTAGAATATTTAGGGAAAGACTTTAATAAATTTCTTAACGACGCGGGAATAAAACACGAAATGAGCACTCCTTACACGCCAGCCCAGAATGGCGTCGCCGAAAGATTAAATCGCACTTTAATTTCAATGGCGCGATGTTTGTTATTGCAAATCCAATCTGCCTCAGAAATTCTGGGCCGAAGCCGTCAATACGGCGGCTTACATTCGAAATCGCTGTCCAACGCGAGGTTTAAGAAACGAAATAAAAACACCTTACGAAGTGATGTTTGGCAGAGTACCTGCTGTCTCTCACTTCAGAACCTTTGGCCAAAAAGCATTTTCGCTAAATAAAAGGCCAGGAATAGGCAAATTTGATATTCGATCTAAAGAATGTATATTTATTGGCTATTCTGATGAATCAAAAGCGTATAGACTTTGGGATCCTGAGGCACGTAAAGTGATAATGAGCAGAGACGTAAAACTTATTAATGAGTTTGAAAATTGCTTATTAGTTATGACTCAGAGCAAGAAATAAATCTGCCTTTCGCTCCGGAGGAAAAAATTATAAATAAAACATGTTGTGAAAAATCATCACCTCTGGACGGTAGCGAGTCGCCACTTCACTCTGAAGCTGAAAAGAAAAGCGGAAGTGATTTAGATAGCGAATCAATGCTTCCTATCCTGATTAAAAGGGGGCCTGGTCGACCCAAGAAAATAAAAACAGGTTTGCCAGGAGGGTCTAAAAAAGAATATCACTATACAGTTGTAAATAAAAAATGAACAAACTCGAAATGTTGTTGAGGAAAAGCATTAATCCTACGGTTGCAAGAAGCATTAAATGGACCATATGCTGAAAATTGGCATAATGCCATGCTGTTAGAATATAACTCGCTTGTTCAAGAAAAAGGCTTGGGAATTAGTAAAAAGACCTGAAAACAAGAAAGTTATTGGCAGTAAATGGGTTCTTAAATTAAAATATAATCACGACGGCACTATCGAAAAATACAAAGCTAGGCTAGTTGCTAAAGGGTGCGCTCAAATCCCTGGTCTCGATTTCACTGAAAAAACTTTTCCCCTGTTGCTAGATTAAGTTCCATAAGAAACAGTTTTAGCCTACGCTGTAGAACAACGAGTCTCAAAGGTTACCAATTAGATTTTGTAATGGCCTATGTAAATGGAAATTTAGATGAAGAAATCTACATGGAAATTCCCGAAGGTTTTCGCGACGAAACTAATTCAGATAAAGTGTGTCTTTTAAAGAGATCATTATACGGTCTTAAACAGTCAGGACGTCAGTGGTACAAAAAGTTGGATGAAAAATTAAATCTATGAAATTTAAATCTCTTAATTCAGATAATTGTGTTATATTAAAAAGACGCCTAAATTATACGCAAATTATTGAAACTATTATAATCGTTTATGTAAACGATCTTATCGTTTTTACCGATTCTAAGCAAAACGTATGAAACAATTCGCGATAGTTTAGCTTCGCTTTCTACTTTTAAAATGAAAGACTTGGGGAAATTACATAATTGCTTAGGAATAGAATTTTACCAAAATGAAAATTCAATTAAAATTTCTCAAAAGAAATACGTTGATGATATTTAAATCGGTATAATATGCAAAATGCTAAATCCGTGTCTTCACCTATAGATAATAGCAAAAAATTATCAAAAGAGATGAGTCCTAAAAACGAAAACGAAATCTCTGACATGAAAAATGTTCCATTTAAAAATCTGATCGGATCACTAATGTACCTTTCAGTAGCTACTAGGCCAAATATCACATACCCCGTGAATTTCTTCAGTTTAATAACAATCCGGGAAAAGAACATTGGCATGCTGCGAAAAGAATACTTCAATATCTAAAGGGAACAAAAGATCAAGGACTAATTTATACGAAAACAGGAAAACCACTCATCGCCTTTGTGGATGCAGATTGGGCATCAAATGTCAATGATAGAAAATCCTACACAGGTTTTGTATATATATTAAGTGGTTCAGCCATAACCTGGGAATCACGAAAACAACGCAGTGTAGCTCGATCTTCATCGGAGGCGGAATATATCGCTTTGTATGAGGCCGCCAAAGAAACCGTCTACCTACGTCGTTTCCTGAAGGAGCTGGGTTACAACATAGAACACCCAACAACAATATACTGCGACAATCAAGGAGCTCAGAAAATTACGAAGAACTCAGTGTTTCACTCCCGTACAAAGCACATAGACATTCGCCATCATTTTATGCCTGAAGTATATGAACGCGGTGAATTAGATGTGCAGTACATACCTACCAGTGAAATGGGAGCTGATGTGTTAACCAAACCCTTGACTCCTGTTAAACATCAAAACTGTTGTAC